AAAAACAACCCACAACCAGACACCTGGCCACCTCATTGCAATACCAATCTTAAACATAGCAACTAATTTTAAAATAAAATCATCAGGGCAGCAGGTAACAGCTCAGTTGGAAATCAGAAACTAAAAGACCATGAACTAGAAACTGCACGAAAACTTCTAAAAGAAATAACTGTCAAGTTGCAAGGTCAAATTCAGTGAATATCTACTCAAGTGTAGGAAATTGGGGTACAGTTCAGTGGTGAAGGCTGCCTAGCAATATGAAGAAATGAGCATAAACACAAAAGAATGAAGATGGACCCTTATCTTACACTATTTGCAAATAAACCAAACTGTAGCAAAGACCTTAAACTGTAAAACTCTTAGAAGCAAGCACTGGGGAAATCCCTATGATATGGATTTGAGTATGAACTTCAGGATATAACAGCAAAAAGCATAGGTAACAAAAGAAAGGGAGAATGGAAGATAATGTCAACCTCTTATCTAGTAATGGATTAATATTCATAATATACAAAGAACTCCTGAAACTCAATAACAAATAACTCTAAAATGGGCAACTGGCTTTAACAGATATTTCTCCACATATAACATATGAATGACCACACAAAAAGACAGCAATACTTGTCACTTCAGAAAAATCAAAACCAAAACCACTGTGAGAATCAAGCACGGAAGTCCAAGCCTGTAATCAAAAGACAAGGAAGACTGGACAGGAAGACCACAGAGTTAGAGGCTAGCCCAGATCACAGATTCCCCCACACAGTAAGACTCTCCTTCAAATCCATCAGGTCAACTATTGTTTAAATTTAGCATGTGTGCGTATGAGCACACACCATATGTGGAGGTCAGAGGACAAATCTCTTCACCACATGCATTCCAGGGCTCAAACTCGGGTTATCAGATGTGCTGATAAGCACCCGCTTTGCCATTTTGTCGACCCTGTTTTCCTTTTTTGAGAGAGAGCTATGCATCTAGCTCTGGCTGCAGTGACCCTCTTGTCTCTGCTTCTGGAGTCAGCGTGCGCCACCACACCTAGCAAGGGCAACTTTTATTTTCTTTTTTTTTTAAACTCTTTTTTTTTTTTTTTTAATTTTTATGGTTTTATTTAACTTTACTTTATGTGCATTGGTGTGAAGGTGTCAGATCCCCTCCAACTGGATCTTCAGACAGTTGTGAGCTGCCATGTGGGTGCTGGGAATTGAATCCGGATCCTCTGGAAGAGCAGTCAATACTCTTAACCACTGAGCCATCTCCTCAGCCCCTCAAGGGCAACTTTAAAAAAAAAAATAAATTAGAAATGTAGACAGGGCTTGAGAGACGGCTCAGCAAGTGAAAGCACCTGCTGCCAAGCCTGACAGCCTGAACGTCATCTCTGAAACCTACATACTGGAAGAGAAAACAAGTTCCTACAAGTTGTCATCTGACTTCCACACTGTGTTATGACACGAGTGTGCACCCAAGAATCTGGAGCAAAGGGAGTCCTGTGCATAACTAACTGAAACGTAGAACAGTGTCACCAGTGTGGAAAAGAGCTTGGTGGTTCCTCAGAAAGTAAACACTTTTTCTTTTTCTTGGTATATATCTCAAAGAACTGAAAGCAAGAACTCACATAATATATACCAATGTAAATAGCAATTGCATACATCCCTCAGTGTGAAGTAAGTCAAATATCCCTAGTAACGCTAGTAAACAAATGCTGTATGTGTGTATTACAGTATTATGCAGTCTTAACAAAGGGGGAGTTCTGACCTAAGTAGATAAGCTTTTATACAACAGTCAAAACATCAGGATGCTATGATAAGTGAAATAAAACAAGCAAAGGGACAAATACTAGGATTCCTCTATGAGTTACAGGAAACAAATTCAGTGACAGAAAGTAAAGAGTAGGCAGCCAGTGAGATGGCTCACCACAAAACCCCCATATCTGCATCCCCCATATATTTTAAAAGCTTTTTGAAATTATCTAGTAATGATAGTAAAGGCACAAAGAACTGATAGCTAATACTCCCACCTATAGTAATAAATAATGCATGCACAAGTGTTCATAGTGGCATTATTAATGTAGTGAAAAACCAAAAATATACCAGGCTAGGGAAACGCAAGCCTGCAGTGCATAACAAAACTGCAAAAAAAAAACCAACCAAACAAAAAACACCCCAAAAAAACCAACCAACCAGCCAGGCGGTGGTGTCGCACACCTTTAATCCCAGCACTCGGGAGGCAGAGGCAGGCGGATCTCTGTGAGTTCAAGGCCAGCCTGGTCTACAAGAGCTAGTTCCAGGAAAAGCTACGGAGAAACTCTGTCTCGAAAAAAATAAAATAAAAACAAAACAAAACAAAAAACAACCAACCAAACCCATGAGTAGTAGGGACACATCTCCAAAACAGAGTAGAGGACAAGAGGCAAAACAAGCACACAGCCTAGGCAGGACCAAGGGCTCAGAACAGTGTGGTGGCACAGTGATGTGCTCCTGAGTGAGGTCCGGTTATGGGCTTTGCTCTGCAGTGACTCCTGATAGACTTTACGATGTATATTTTAATGGATGCTACATATCACAATAAACGACTAGAAATTTTTAAGAAAGGCAGGTGGAAATCATGACCAGTCTTGTCTACAACTCAAGAGATACCTAGTCTACAACAACAACAACAAAAGGAAGGAGGGAGGGAGGGGGGGAGGGAGGAGAAGAAGACTGATAATAGATATCTAAAAATACCTAAAAGTACAATTTGGGGGCTGAAGAGAAGCCTCAGGGGGTAAGAACACTGGCTGCTCTTTCGCAGGACCTAGCATGGCATCTATTACCCCAGATCCCTGGGAACAGACTCCCTCTTCTGGACTCTGGGCGCATTGCACACATAGTGCACAAACACACACATGCAGGTAAAACACCCAAAAGCATAAACAAAACAAACAAACAAACAAAAAAAAAAAAAAACAAGAAAAAAACCAAACCCAAAGAAAACAAACCTATAATTTTACTTCTGAAAATACTATTCAGCAAACCTTCCTGAGAGTTTCTGACATGCAGGATGTTAGGGCTAGGAAACGTTTAATGCTATATTATATAAATTCTGAAATATTTGACAGTCTCAGTCGTTTGGAAAACAGATATAAGTCTGATCGATCTCTCCCCCCCCACACACACACACTTTCCATGAAGAAACTGTTCAGTTCCGAGAGAGTACTGAGACACAAACACCACTTTATTTTCTAAAACACAGAGGCATGACTGTATGAATGTATTGGCATGACCGTCAATAGTCACTTACTTGATCAAGATTTGACAGACTGTTGGGATCTTGACTCAGACCTTGGTACTGTCCCCTGAGTCTGTCACCAGCAGCTATTTTCCTGAACTTCTTCAGATCCACGACATACAGTGCACTGAGCAGAGAAGAGACACTTGTTACAGGCAAACCACGGATTTATGTCAACAACAAAGCAAACTGAATAATGGAAGAGGTCATGAACCAGGCGCTGCCAAGTGTCACTGAGGGGGTGAAGGGATAATGGCTGCCGAGGGACTGCGTACTTCAGAGAGGATCGCCTCCTGCAGGCCACGCTCTGCTGTAACAGCTCACCGCAGTCAGCTTTTTATTTGTTGGTTTACATGAAAATTAATTCCTGAGGCAAGATTTCTAGCTAACTCAGAAGATTTAGTAATGAAAATCATTGAAACTGATAAATAACAACTCTTGCCAAAGCTCTCCTGATGATGTCTTAAATGGGTGTGGGGGAGGAAGGCGGTGCTACAGTTCTTTCAGGCCAGGAACTAAGTATAAAACTGAAATCACTGTACTTCATCATCCAGCTCTATATGTGTTCTTTTTTAAAAGGGTTTATTTAGGGAGTTGGAGACTTGACTCAGAGCGAAAAGCATTTGCTGCTCTTCCAGAAAACTAGATTTTGGTTCCCAGCACTCACACAGTGGCTCACAGCCACTTCTAACTCCAGTTTCAGGGGACCTGGTATCTTCTGGCCTTCATGTAGGCAAAACATTCATACATATAAAATAAGCATATCTTTTCTTTTTCAAATTCATTTTATGCATGTAGAGGTGTTTCCCTGTATCTATGTCTGTGTATCACATGAATGCAATGCCTACACAGGTCAAAAGGCATCGGATGCCTTGAAACTAGTTATAGAAGCAGTGTGCCGCATGCGGGTGCTGGGAACTGACCCTTATCCCAGTGGAAGCACAGTCAGTGCTCTTAATCTCTGTGCTATCTCTCCAGCCCTGTATTTTTCTTGTATGTATCCTTGCCTCCCAATCTTCCAAATTATACTTCTTCCAGAAGATATGAAGTGTCCATTAGAAATGAATAAATGCATATACTGGTTGTTGTTGGTGGTGGGTTTTTGTTTTGTTTTGAGACAAGGTCTCACTTTGTAGCTCTGGCTGTCCTGGAACTCACTATGTAGACCAGGCTGGCCTCAAACCCAGAGAGAGAGCGAGATCTACCTGCCTTTGCCTCCCAAGTGCTGGGATTAAAAGCATGTGCCATCATGCTTAGATCAAACACTGACCCAAGAGGTTACTAATATGCTTGAAATAGGCAAAAAAAAAAAAAAAAAAGTATTTCATAGATTATGCATCAGGATACATTGTAAGAGGAAAACTATGAACAATGTACTGCAGAATATGCAGCTAAGCAAAGGAATAAAGTATATACAGGTATAAGAGCTATAACATGACATTCTTTTAAAAAGCTCAAATTACAACACAGTAGTTTAGACAGTATAAAAAGGAGAGTATATTTTGTAATAAAAAGGATACACATTCATAGTTGTTTATGTAAGAATTAAACTCTGGAAAGACAGGATATAAATAAGAGGGATTATCTGTTGAGGGGGGGCTAGATAAAAAAGACAGATTGAAGAATTTTTCTCTTTAAGCCATATTAACATAATATCTATTCACTGATTCAATTCACAAAGTTAAGAAAAGAAAACCCAGACAACAGTGTAGGGAGTGCTCTTTCAGTACCTGATATGATACTTCCGCCCAGCCAAATGACTGGCCCAGTACCCTGACTTCCAGAACCGGTAGCCATCCATCTCTCTCCTGCTATCACAGAAAGGAGTGTAACCTTAAGGGGCGCCATCCAAATTGAAATCCCTTAACTCTTTCAGATCTGTCCGTACAATCTGTAGTAAAGAAAGTCAAAATATTTGTTAACCGACATACAGAAAACTTAAGGCATTCCTTAAAGTAGACTATATTACACAAGGCAGCAGACAGGGCAACTCAACGGGTAACACACAGCTCTAGAATACAAGCCTGGATTCCTCCATTGTCACGCCTTAACCTGAAATGATCCTCACAGACTCCTGTTTTGAGCATTTGGTCCCGAGCTGGTGGGTGGTGCTATTTTGAAGACTGTGGAGCCTTTTGGAGGCTGGCTGGTAGAAGTCTCTAGGGGCAGGCCTTTGAAGTCTGTAGCCTGGCCTTGTTCAAGCTTCTATTTTCTACTCTTGGTCTGCCGTCATGGGGACAAGCAGTCTCATCAGACATTCCGGCCCCCCTAGTCCATTACCCACTTCCCTTTCTCTATCACGACAGACACATCCTCTGAGACTAGGAGCCAAGACAAACCTTTCCTCCCTTGAGCTGCTTCTGTTAGGTGTTTGGTCAGACAATGAGACAAGTTCTAATACAGAAACTGATACTGAGGCACACGCTGAGGTGACAGAACCTGCCCAGTGGCTCGCAGGCCTTTTCAAGGTGGCTTGTGGAAGCATGTGGGAGAGCTTGCGAATGCAGGCTAGAAAAGCCTTACAGTGCTGTAAGCAGAGCGTGGAGGACCTCTCTGGTGGGCGTGCGTAGGACCAGAAGGTCAGGGACAGCTGACAGTAAAGACTGTGCTGATGAGGGCTCAGATGAGAGCGGGCATCTTATCTTCTGAAAAACTGAGTTAGGTTGAATTCAAAAGTAATGAACATATTGATTTAACATGGGAAATTTGAAGACTGTCTTATTTTCAGGCTATGGCATGGTTAGTAAGCACCCTGCTTTGGGTCAGATAAGCAGGATCAACATAAGGATAACAAAAGGATAGTTTAGCAGTGAGGAGAAAGCAGCTGCAGTGGTTAAAAGGATCAGCATCACTGTGGAGAAGGTGTGCCAGAGAAGTATCCGCAGCATTCCTTGTCATAAGATCTTAGCATTTCCCCTGAACTTCATTTATCACCCACGCCAGTAACACCTATAGCTAGATGTGGTAGTACAGGCCTGGGGTTGTAGTATTCAAGAGGCAGGGACAGAAGAACAATCTGGATAACAGAGAAAGGCTCTGTTTTAAAATCAGTGAATGTTCAAATAAAGTACTTAACATTTGGGACATAGTAACAAAGTAATATTAAACATTTATTTTTTCAATTCTTGGTATTTATGTTAAATGAATTAAGTAATACATAGGACTGACTGAACACACAACAGAGCAGCCATATTTAAGACAAGATGAAAATGAGATGTGCTGGGAAGCTAAAGAGAGGGCCAGTTCTGAACTTAAGTGAGGCCTACTGGTGTGTAGGGGCATCACATCTCCAAACAGCTTCACAAGAAGCTGCAGGCCCAGGGTGGGAACTGAACTGACTCCAAATTAGAACAGAAATATCTTGCAGTAGCTTCAAGAGAAGCTGTGAACCCACAACAGGAACCAGATTTTATGCTGGGAAGTTTCACAACTCTCAAGAGAAAGCTGCAGACCCAAGCAGAATCCCCACACTTAAATAGAACAATACCTGACCCTCAGAGCAAGACTTAAGATAGGACCTTGTCCCTAGACACTAGTCCCACAGAAGAAAACAGCACCTCAACCCTACAACGATTTCACCTCCTGAACATTGCAAACACTACCACTGAAAGAAAATAAAAGGTGATTTGAATTTTAAAAATTAAAAATAGAAAAAGACTCAGCAGATAAACTAACTCCAGATGTCCAAGTCCCAGAGCAGAAACAAAAACAAAACCAAGATAACAAATCCCCTTCAAAGATTACTAATCAATCCCATTGCTAGGGCTCCTAATGAAAAAAACTTGAAGAACTTCAGCCGAAGCATTTAAAAGAATAAATATAACTATGCCCAAGCAACGTAAAGACATGAATATATTCTGAGAACAAAACAAAAGAGCTAAATGCAATGAGGACGTCAACCCAAGGCATAGAAATTGAATCGGGAGAGGGAGACAGAAATGCTGAAGAAAAACCAAACTGAGACGATGTTGGAAATGAAAAATTCAGTTAGCCAAATTAAAGGCTCAGTGGAAAGCCTCACGAACAGAAAGGATTGTGTGGAAAATGGAGTATCAGGGCCAAAAGAAAAGATAGAGGAATCAAATCGTGTAATTAAGGTCAATGATAAATGATTCGGGGAAGGGAGTGGGTATAGATTTAGGACACTGTAGAAAGACCAAAAGAGAGAATCTTCTAATTATAGGCACAGAAGAAGCAGGATACTATACCGAAAGCGCAGACAATATTTTTAATAAAATCATAGAAGATGTTTTCCCTCAAATCTAGAGAAAAAGATGCCCAACAAGGTATGAGAAGCTACAGAATTCCAAATTAGACAGGACCAACATATTATAGCTAAAATACTAAAAACACAAAGTAAAGCTTCAAGAAAGAAAGGTCATGTCATCTATAAAGGCAGGACTATCAGAATAGGACCTGGTTATTCATGAGAAACACTTAAAGCCAAAAGAAAAGATGTAATCCAAGCTCTAGAAGAACACAACTGCCAATCAAGACTACTATACCCAGCAAAACTATCTGCAAAAAAAAAAAAAAAAATCAAAGGATAGTGGGATAGAAAGAGAGCTTAGTGGTTAAGAGCAATGGCTATTCAACCAGAGGATCCAGGTTTGAGTCCCAGCTCCCACCTGTCTGTAACTCAGGTTCCAATGCATTCTCTGTAGAGTTGTACCAGAACTTACAACTTGTAGTTGTAAAGCACTAATACCAATACTATTCACATTGTTCCATAAGATAGAAAAGAAGTCTTTTGAGCTCTTTCTATGAAGCCAGTATTACCCTGGCACCAAAATCAAATAAAGAAACACACATCAATAAAAGAAAACTACAGGCCAATCACCTTGATAAACATAAATGTAAAACTTGGTAATAAAATCCTGACAGAATTTAACATTACATTAAAAACATCATTCATTATGGCTTTATTTCCGTGAATGCAGTGGTGGTATGTGTAAATCAATAAATATAATTCTGCACATGAATGGACTAGAGGACCGAAATTATGTTTCTCTCCATCAACACAGAAAAGGTCATGATAAAAATCAAGACAAGTTTAGGGATAGTCAGCTCATGCCTTAATAAAAACTATATACAGAACCAACCTGAAGTCAACATCATACCAAATGGAGAAAAGCTCAAAACACTCTTCCTAAGGAACAAGACAAGAAACAGCTTCTACTTAATACAGTACTTGAAGTCTTAGCTTGAACAATATGACAAGAGAAGGAAACAAAAGGAATACAAATAGCAAAATAAGTTGCAGTATTGTTTTTTGACAGATGTTAAAGACGCCAAGGAAGTCTTAGAGTTGATAAATACTTTCATCAAAGTGACAGAATACAAAATCAACATCAAAAAAAATCAGTAGCCTTTCTATATTACAATAGCAAACTGAAAAAGAAACCAGAGAGATCACAGCCATAAGCAAACAAACATAATAACAAAAACCATCTGGGAATAAACCTAACCAAGTAGCAAGAGACCTTTACAGTGAAAATTTTTAGACAATGAAGAAAGAAACCGAGGAAGATAGAAGATAAAAAGATATCTCATGCTTACGGATTAGAGAAATCATTACTGTAAAAATGACCATCCAGCCAAAAGCAGCCAACACATTCAAGAGCAATCCCAGTAAGAATTCCAGGTCCATTTCTTTTTTTTTTAATATTTATTTATTATGTATACAATATTCTGTCTGTGTGTATGCCTGCAGGCCAGAAGAGGGCACCAGACCCCATTACAGATGGTTGTGAGCCACCATGTGGTTGCTGGGAATTGAACTCAGGACCTTTGGAAGAGCAGGCAATGCTCTTAACCACTGAGCCATCTCTCCAGCCCTCCAAGTCCATTTCTTATAGACTGAAAAAACATCCAAGATAATTTATACAGAGGCACAAAAGACCAAGAATAGTCAAAACAATACTAACCAAACAGAACAGCCCAGGAAGTGTCACTATGTCTTTTTTTAAATTATAGTAGGAATAAATTAGCATGGTACTGGCACAAAAGCAGACACAGACACACAGATGGATGGAATAGAACTGAGGACCCAGATATAAGACCTTACAATGAGTTTTGATTTTTGACAGAAGTATCAAAAAGATATCATAAGAGAAAAGACAACATCTTCAACAAATGATATTGGGAACACTGGAATTCAATATGACACTAGATCCTTATCTCTCACTCTGCACAAACTGGACCCAAGACCTGATACTCTAAAGTTGCTAGAGAAAAAAGGGAACATACTTTATCCTACAGGCACAAGGAAGAGAGTTTTCTGAACAAAACTCCAATAGCACAGGAACTAAAGTATTCAATTAACAAATGGGCTCTGATGAAATGAAAAGCTTCTGTACAACAAAAGCACTGTGAAGTGAGTGTATGAACACCCACAGAGTGGGAGGAAATGTTTTTGCCACCTGTGCAATAGTGGTACAACTTTTATAGGATAGCTAATGGCTTTCTGACTGGACTTGAGGCTTGCTCCACAGGAGAAAATTTCATACCTGGTATTGTAACCACAGCCCAACCGTGGAGTTGGGGAAGTCATAGGCCCTAGAGCACAACCTGCTATTGTCATTTTCCTAAGCAGTGAGGCTCTCAAGTTATCTCTAAATACTCATGTTAAAACCCAGAGATTGGTGATGCACTTGCCCTGTCAGAGAGGCTTCCTTATGCGGTGGGCAGCAGAGGGACACAGAACTGGTCAGAGTGAGGAGAGTAAGACACTGACTGCTCAGTGCTAAACAGAATGTCTGTATCCAGGTCCCCGTCTCCCAAGGCTTAGTGGACACTGAGGAAGATGAGATGGAAAGGACTTGGAGCCTGTGGATGAGGCAGAGCGCTGTAAAATGCTGTCCTCTGGCATGCGTGGTTATCACTCATAAACTCACACTAGCTGTGGCTGCATGCACAAGACCTATACAAGATCAAGCCAGCCAAAATGTAGACATACAGGATAGATGACATGTAGGCTCCACCCCTTACTGGCACTGGGTAGCTACTGGAAAGGGAGAATCATTCTTTTCTTAGGATAACGGCTACTGACAGGATTCCCAGGCTCTAGTAGATGGCTCTACACTCATGCACCTCTGCACTAACAGGACATAGTCACAGAGGGTATATATGATAGATTACATGAGCACATTTTATTGTATACATGCATAAAATGTTTAAGGAAAAAATTTAAAGGGAGATGAGCTGATGGAACTTAAATTTAAAAAGTGATACTATCTGAATGAAATCTTTCATATTTCTGAAATACTAATGCAAAAAAAAAAAACCCAGGTACTTTTCCGTATCTGAAAATCATCTTTAAAAAGGAAAAGGAGCCGGGCAGTGGTGGCGCACGCCTTTAATCTCAGCACTTGGGAGGTAGAGGCAGGCAGATCTTTGAGAGTTCGAGGACAGCCTGGTCTACAAGAGCTAGTTCCAAAGCTACAGAGAAACCGTGCCTTGAAGAAAAAAAAAAAAAGGAAAAGGAAACCTGACTTATTTAGCACTGACTACCAACAGCTTGTGTTCAAAGCTCACCTGATCAGCATCTACAAACAGGAACTTGTCAACAACCAGTGGGAAAAGTACATCCAGGAAGAGGATCTTGTAGCCCCAGATGATCCGTTGCTTCTCTGTCTGCTGATGAAGCCACCGCGGCCATTTTTACTGAACAAGTTCATACTGAAAGTTGTATTTGCTGGCCATGTAAGGTATAAACTCCTATTTTTAGACAGGGAACAATAATCATTCATTCTGAATTGATTCCTTAATGCAAGTTAACCACCATTATTACAGTACAACTAAGTTTTATAGTATACACTAAGACAAGGTCTACTAAGAAACTTGGTCTTAATTCACTTGACTCATATAAGAGCACATATAAACTCTGATCCAATTCCCATTCTTGATGATATGTAGTCACCATATGATCTGACAGAAGCCTGCAGGTGAAGGCTTTGAGATTTAAAGCTCCGTGTGTGGGTGTTTATGGCACATAAGCTCCAGGTTCACTTATCTAAATTTGATTTTAGTAAAACACTTTGAGCTTGTAGTAAAATCTTCTCAAGGCTATGTCTAAACCACAGCAGAGCCACAACTCTTCAATTTCCTTACTTAACAGTAAGTCCTCTGTACCCAAGACACTAATGCCTTTAGGAGAGCAGAAGTAACTGCTCATCTGAGATGAGTCATCACTGAATATAAAACTGCTTTAAATACTACAGAAAAAAAAAGTAAGATGCAAGAAAATCAGTCCAGGCCAACACGAGTTTAAGCAGCAGACTGCTGAAGTTTGGTTTCCTTTGGTACAGAGGAAGCAATCCTTCCATACCTTATTCATAAGAAAATTAATCATTCTCAAAACACACTATCACTGTGCTTCTTAAACCAAGGCAAAGACATGCAAGCCTCCAGGGAAAATGTTATTATTTTGTTAAAACATTGTCTCTTAGAAAAGACAAGAGACTCTCCTCCTATATTATTCAGCTTCAAACAGGCCACAGTTTTGGGTTTGTTTCTTAATAACTATTACTCCAAATAGAGCAGCCTGGAAGAAAAAAATACCAATATAGCAAAGACAATGAAATTAGGATATCCTAATAAAAGGGATAAAAAAATAAGTGTACTGATAAAACAAAAGTAGAAAAGAATATGTTACAGTGTAAATATTCCCTTAACAAGGTTTTCTCTTTCCCCATGAACAAACCTTAAATGTGGGGGACAAATAATTCTTCAAGAACCAGAATTTCACAGGAGTTTTGGTATTCTTCAGCACTGATAGCATCATTATGCTGCCAAAAAAAAAACAACCAAATAATGATTTTCCAATGCTTTTTAACCTCAACAACATTAAGCAGAGAAAAATCACAAGATTGACAGCAGAGCTAACCTGTGGTTCAGTTAGGCAGAGACCATCAGTAGTGGGAAAGTCTACATACTGTACTAAAAGGTGTCACTGAATGAGAGAAGGATTTCCCTGAAAGCATATTCCAAACAGATAGGGGCAAATGCTAAGTATGCTGCATGCTTAAATGAGCCACCTCACAAACCGGAGGTCATAACCATCATTCTCCAGGCCCAGCAACATCTGGTACATGCACGGCCCCTGTCAGTCTGGAAAGAGAGCCTTGAGGGAAAGGAGAGCAGGGAAGGGGAAGGGAAACCAGAGGGAACATGCTCAGGCCAAAAATGCAATAAAGTTTTTAAACACTATTGTTATTTTATTTAGTTATTTAGTGGAAAAAGAACTAAAAATTACCCAAATGACTTTTTTTTATTGTCTCCTATACCAGAATTAAAATGAAAACTAAAAGGAAAAACAGCTCTGAAATTGGGACAAGGACCTTCAAGCAATGTGTTCCTTCAACACTGAGCTCCCAGACAGAGTGACAAACTGACCCTGAGACCCTTCCCCTCTGGTAACCACAGCAACAGTTTCAAGCAATGGCCCGTTCTGCTTTCAGCTGTATGACCTAGGCAAACCCCTTCCATTTTAGTCTCGGTTGTTCAAGCAAGGGTGTTCTCACTTAGAAATAAGATCTGGCTCTAAAGCTGTGTGGGTCTGCAGAAGGTGGCCAAGAGTTACATGGTTATGGCCTATTGTTTGTAATTCCTTAGTTTCTGCTTTAAGCAATATTTATGGTCAAGGAACAACAATGTCTATAAGGTATACACATAGGAAACTAATGGTCTATGGCCTTGTAATAGCCACACTGAGGCACCATGTAGCTCTACTTCATGGAGTGAACCAGATCAAAACAAACAGAACTGTATGTGGCAAGCTATCCACAGCTCTAAGAGTACTTCATATAGATACACATAGTACAGGGAGCAAAACTTTTCTCAAAATAAGCATACTGTAACAAATTCATTTACATACAAATAATGAAGACTAACCGAAGAAATCTTTCATAGAGATGACCAGATGCAACAGAGAAAATATTGATTATGTCATCTTTTTCAGGTTTCACTTCCTCAGTCTTCTGTCCTGAAAAGCCCCTGTAACAACAGAATTCAAAACAAAACCACTTACGATGCTGGGTAGACACAAACTTTCAGGAGAGGAGAGAGGGACAGCACCTGTGTCTTCCTGCTCGAGAGGTAAGCCTTGTGGAAGCCATATACAGATGCGGGAAGGGGCACAGGAACAAGGCCATCTTGCAAGGGAATAAGGATGCTCATCAAAAGGCACCACATCATTTAAGAATAGATGGAACATAAGCTGCTCCAGAGAATACAATCTGTCCAGGGGGGAGGTCAACAGAACAATGACTACCACCTCCCCCAGGAGTGGACCCCACCCATCAAGCTACATGGAAGAACATTTCCCCTCTCTTAATCAATGGGAAACATTTCCCAACTCCAATGGAAAGGAAACAATCTAGTTGCATGAAGCAGAAGGTCAGAAGTAAAAAAAATTTATCATACTCAAAAGGATGCATAGCATGCATCTCTCAGATTTCCCTCGAAAATGTTAACCATTTTTATGATGCCAATTTACCATTTAAATGAGTCCCAAAATCCAGATTCATTCTCACTCGTTCCATCACTCAGCAAGTCTTCATTAACCATGTCTGCTTTCTTCTGAACCTGCAATCATATATGACAGATCTTATTTCTCCCAGTAGGTCTGATAGGCACTGGATACACATGGAGTACTGTCAACAGGAAACAATCAACCAAGTCTCCTATAGGAAAACCCCATCCAGGATGAGTACCCAGGAAAAAAGGTATGTTTACCAGAATGCCCATGTCAAAGCTTTCAGGGAGGATCTAGCTATCTCTTTGAATTGAATGATAACCAAGCTTAGTTTGTACAATGAGCCAAAGACCAAACTTAGCTGCACAGAAACATAGGGCGAGTAAACACATACACATTGTTTATATACACAATTCATAGCATTATTTCTTCTAGCTGACAACTTCTGGGGAAGAATTCAGCCTTCAGGAGCTGTTGGGAGAGGCATGTTGGGCCATTGCCTGTTTTCAGGACTTATTACTGCAAAGGACTCTCTGCAGCAGTCTCCTTTCTGTTCAGCCACAGGATGGCTTACTCTAGGTTTTACCATGTATAATAGGTACTTTTCTTCCAGTCACTTTACTTGAAGTCAAAAAACTTTAGAACGCTGAGGAGAGAGAGCAACAAAGGGCAGTAAATAAAATCACTTACTGTTTGTATTTTGTGTTTGTTTTTGGAGGCAGGGTCTCATGTCACCCAAACTGGCCTCAAATTTACTATGCAGTGCAGGCTGACACTGAACTCCTGATGCTCCTGCCTCTGACTCCTTAAGTACTAGGATTATAGGTGTACATCAACCATGCCTATAAACACTATAATCTTACTGTTGGGTTGTAAATGGGATTTCCCAGTCTTCTCAGAATAAAATAACTAATAACACTATGAATTGTGTGTATAAAAATGTCAATGCCAGGGCTGGAGAGATGGCTCAGTGGTTCAGAGCACTTCCAGAGGACCCGAGTTCAGTTTTCAGCACCCATACTGGGTAGCTCACAACTACCTGTACCTCCAGCTCCAAAGGATATCAATGCTCTCTATTCTGACCACAGTTACCTGCACATGTGTGTCATACAGTCACACAAACACATGTACATATATACAAACAAATAAAAGTTTTTAAAAATGACAAAGTTGGTCCAGGCAAGGTGGTAGATGTCTTTAACCCTAGCATTTGGGAGCCAGTCTGTTCAGACATATCTCTGAGTTCAAGGCCACCCTGGAATACATAGCAAGTCCCAGGCCAATCAGGACTACACAGTGAGATTCTGTCTTAAAAAGACTAGGGGGGCAGGGACAAAGCCTCTGAGGACATTTTGTATGAAATGGGACTAACATTGTTCTCTGACATTACAATCTTTTGGCTGAAGAAAACTAGAAGTTTGTCTTCACAAAGACATTTTCCTTAAGCAGCATCCCTAGTAATAACAACCCCCCCCCAATGGAATAGCAGACTGACTTCAAAATGCAGGTGCCCCCCTTTATCTGCTGGGAAACATTCCAAGCCCCTGGTGGATACATAAAATATGAGATAGTAGAGAACCCAGAACATATTCCATAGCTTTGCTCACACTATTTATGAGAAAGCTTAATCTGTAAATTAGGCCACATAAGATCCACAACAATAACTAACAGTAAAATGGAGCATTAATTATTTTAATAAACTAATGTGAATGTGCTCTTCTTGAAAGAGTCACACAGGAGTCAGTATCTTCAGACAGTGACTGACCAAGATCACTAACGCCTGGCCACAGCAAGGTCTGCTATGACAGTGACTGAATGGGACTATTTACCAACTATAAACAAGTCACTGCCAAAGCAAAGCAAACTTACCTTCACTTTGATGATTTTGCTTTTGAAGTTATTGAGGAGGACAACAACATCATTTGCATCAGGAGGAGAATCTGTACCATCATGGCTGGAGATAAAAGTAAGACAGAGAATACAAATCACAATTCCCCAAATACAGTAAGTGCACAGACAATAACTGCTATTTTGCCCATCATCTTTATCATAGAAAAGCTTTCCAAAACCAACAGTTCCTAAAAGAAGCACCTTTATAGGACAAAGAAGTGTTCGTAGAAATCTCCATCTCTAGACTAACGTGAACTGACTTCCTTCTTTAACCTTCTTTCAGATTAGCAGGCAAACAGCAACAGGTTCTCAGGCAGGGTACGCACATAGCAGATCATGAAAAAGCGTGTATTTTCATAGCTCTGAGCACTCAGGCCCATCACTGGAAACACTTCTACCTTTTAACTGGATCAGTTATGTAAAGAAATCTACTCTGGACTGAATGTGGTGACTCACACCTGGAACCACAAAGGAAGCAGCAGGGAGATCAATCTGAGCTCAAAGCCAACCCAGGCCACAGTGAGAGTATGAAGAAACAAGGAGAGTCTATCTATTCTTGCTCTGTCGGGAGGCAACAGAACCAGGCAAGTTTAGAGCACAGACTCAACTCTGTGTCTCTGGCAGGAAGTCCACAGGACCACCAGCTCTGTTTATAGGCACAGGAGCAGAGGAAGAAGAGTTTAAGCACTCTTTTCCTACAATCATATTCTCCAGTCACCAAGTATCAGGAAGTCGCTGCATCTGCTGTTATTCAGCAGACAGCAGGGTTCTCAGGCAAAAGGAAAGGAGAAAGCTGAAGTACAGAAGATTCCAGAGACAGGGACTGTCTACTTAGGCACAGGAACCCCAGACAGCAAGAAGAGAAGATGGCACCACAGCCTTCAGCAAGGAGAAAGATAAACAAGGACACACAGAAGAAAGAGAATTCAGAAATATTACAATATTGTGTAACCAGCAAGGCAGTGGTGACGCATGCCTTTAATCCCAGCACTCGGGAGGCAGAGGCAGGTGTGAGTTAGAAGCCAGCCTGATCTACAAAAGCTAGTTCCAGGACAGCTAGGGCTGTTACAGAGAGAAACCCTGTCTCGAAAAACAAACAAAACAAAACAAAACAAAACAAAATTGTGTAACCTTACCTAGAAAATCACTTAATCAGACAAAAGCCCACTATCTCAATAAGGACACGACGACAGCACAAAACTCTCTGGGTACCGAGTAAGGAACCTGCACTAAGCTGGGATGACGGCAGCGCCTGCAGTCTCAGCTGTGCAGGAAACTAAGGCAGAGGAAGGTCACCTGAACCCAGTTCAAGCCTGGGCAAGAGAGAAAATACCTGCACCAAAACCAAAGACACCAATCTATACCGTTTCTCCATGTTCACATAAACAGATGCAAACCATTCCCTACTAAACTGACACAGAACTTAGGACTAACTTAAACTGTGTGACACAGAACAGAGACCACAACTTTCTAAATGTGTCTGGGGTTTGTTGTGTAACTAGAGGATGCAGTGAAGTTTAAGCCAATTCCTGTCGCTGACAATATGCTCTAGGAGTACATCTACTCAACTCCAGTCCAAGGACCAAGATGAGAGTCAGACTTCATGGTCAAGGCTTAAGTGTTCTGTGCACGTGTAAACCACTCAACGTCAAGATATATACCTTCCCATCAATGGACCAAACATGTCCAACCCCACTGCATTTCCAAAACTCAGGTATCATCAGGTCCACAGAGCTGCTGCCTGCTGTCTGCATCCCAGGGAAAGAGTAATTTCATTCTGATATAGTTGAGAAAGGGAAACCAGAGGGAACAAACCTCACTCTAACCATTATTTATACCTCCTGTCACTCAGCTCACTTGTAAAAATCCACCTCCATTTACTGCACTGGAAAGAAAGCTTGGTTGTTACATGACTATAAATTAATGCGTGATGCCTAGAAGGCCCAGACAACACCCAATTAAAGCAGAGTCTCTTTAAAATGCAGCTGCACCACTCAGTCCTACCTGTAGATTCTATAAATATCATCAGAGCGCCCCTTCCTTAGTCTGAGAATCCAGGCTCCTGGGTTGGCTTTGAGCTGAAAATATCCCTAGGACACAAAGAAAGTCAAATTTCAGTTCTCTTTAAAACCTCAAAATGTTTCTGATAGAAATTTACTTTTTTTTCTGACAGATATTTCTTTTTTGGAAGTATCAGATCATGAGTGTGTGCATGCCTATCTACCTATCTTTCTTTTTTTGGGGGGGTGGGGGGTGGGGGATTGTACTAGGAATTGAGCCCAGAGTCTTGCTGCTATGATAATTTAAAAAAAAATTAAAAGATAGTTAGCAAATCAGGGAAAAGTAAGCCAAAACAAATCAAAAAAACTATCAAACAAGCTAAAAACCGAAGCACACTAGCAGAACAGGGCCAGTGAAGCCGAGGAGTCACGCTCCACTGAGGAGAAGGTGTGACAGGGATATGCGCTAGAACTTTCAATGAAAAGAGAGCGAGCAGAGCTCTACAGTGTGTTTTGTTGTTTCACTGGCATATAGATGGAATCTCTAAGCTTAACCAAACCAGTGACTTTTCAATGACTACATTTAGTCCATTGTTAATTCTTATTTCACTCCATAGTTAAGAATGTTAGCTCTTCTGTCATAAATTATAGCATCTAAATACCATGACGGATCAACTGATTACTCACCAGATTGGCCATCACAATCGTGTCCACAGTTGTTGGGCTGGCTGAAGTCCCTAACGTAAACTGCAGTCCTCGAGGGGGCTGGCCCGTGGTGACATCATAGCAATGGCCCTCTAATAACAGGTATTCCAGCTCATACTCAGCAGCCACTATACTGTCCACCTGAAAGGCCAAAATTAAACCACGTGGACATTATACATGCATACTCAAAACGCAATCCGCAGGGGCCAGGGGAGAGTGGAGTGCATAAAAGTGCTTGTCACTGAGGCTGATGACTTGAGCACGAGCCCCAGATTCCACATGGTATAAAGAATGCCCACGTTGGCCCTGACCTCCATGTGCACAGCATGGCGTACCCCAGTTCCACCAAAAATTAATTAAATTAAATAAATGCTAGAAAATACACCTTTTGTGACTTTAAGAAATTCAAGAAAAGGAAACACAATTTCAGAACATAGATCATCCACTAATTTTGGTGGGGGTAGGAGGTAATCTCCAAAGGGATAGTAAAGGGATTGATTCTTGGGATAAAATGTTCTGGATCTTGATTGAGATAGTAGCTAATGACTATAATTATAAAAACTTGATTGGAGGAGAGAAAGAAGATAATAACGTTGTTCCAAAAATATAGATGAGGATAAGATTCTCCATGTTGTTGTGAAAAGCCCTAAATAAAGAAAGAGAATTTACATCTTATGGTAATGGATGGGTACAGCATGTACACAATGCTCACAGCAGCATCCCCATAAGAGCCAACAATAGAAACAATCCAGTGTTCATCTGTGCACAAGCACACAAAGTACGCTATATCCAAATAATGGAATTCTATCTGGCAATCAAAATAAAGTACTGACAGGTGCGATCACAGGCAAGAACCTTGGAAAACAATTTCAAGTGAAAAAAGTCAGTCACTTTTTTTTGGAAAGCTCACAAAAACAGAATGTCCGTGACTGCCGGGGGAGTAAGGGGTGAGTGCTAATGAGTACTGTGATGGTAAGTCTTCATCTTGACTAGATGCGGAAGCATACTTCTGGGCATGTGTGAGGGCCTTTCCAGAGAGGCTCAATTCAGGAGGAAAGACCCACACTGAATGCGCAGCAGCGTTCCTTGGGCTAGGATCCAGAAATTCATAAAAAAGAAAAAGGGAGAAAGCCATCCGAAGGAATTCTCCTTTCTTTTCCACTGCCACATCTCCCTACCACAAGGGACTCCGTTCTTTTTTTTTTTTTTTAAATAGATTCTTTTCTTTTTTTATATATATATTTATTTATTATGTATACAACTTTCTGCCTCCATGTATACCCAAACGCCAGAGGAGGGCGCCAGATCTCATTACAGATGGTTTGGAGCCACCATGTGGTTGCTGGGAATTGAACTCAGGACCTCTGGAAGAGCAGACGGCGCTCTTAACCACTGAGCCATCTCTCCAGCCCGGGACTCCGTTCTTATGAGCCAAAATAAATCACTCCTCTCTTACATGGCTTTCTGTCACATGTCTGGATGCAACAACAAGAAAAATAAGTAATACATGGAACTGATTCTGAGGGCAACAAATGCCAGCTAAACTGAGAGAGCAAGGACAGCAACATCTGCACATGCCAAAACTCCTAATGCGACACTTTAAAAGGACAAATTTACCGAACATGACGGGTATCTGAAAAAAGCTGCTCCTGTACAGAGCACGTTAGATGTGAGCAGTGAGCCCACTACTCAGTTCAGGGTCAGCACTGGCTGAATTATAAACAGATTGTACACATGACTCAGTATTCAGAAACAGTGATGCTCTTACCTCTTCTAGATAAATGTTATCAAGATCATATGGCGTCCTGACAGATTCCACCATCCAACTCTCAGGTGTGTTCAGATTCAAAGTGAACAGTGGAGACTGTGGCATATCCAGAAACTTCGCTATCGGTCCCTTAGCAAAGCTGTTGTCTGCGGTGAAAGAAATCTCTGGTTCTAAGACATAACGGTAAAAGCTGAAATGGAGATAGGGTGTTAGGCTTTCTTAACACAATCACATTCACGAGGTCCATACAGGTTAACAAAAAACTAGATTCTTCCAGATCAGGGCATGAATAGGCAAAACCATCTTTTGGTCTAGCGATGCCTCCCAGGGCTGCTACATATATAAGAATGCAGGAGTCCACCCCTCCTCTTCGGGAAGAACCCATTTTCTCTTAAATCTGAGCCCCACATGGTGCTTGTGCTCTCATGCCAGCACTGAAAACATTATATGTGATAACTAAACATTTCTTAATATAAAGCTAATAGTGGAAGCTAGGCTCTTCATCCTTTATAAAATTGTTGGGCTCCATTTAGAATCTAACTATAGAACTCTTTCCTTCATCGAGGAAGACATTTCCTGCAGCCAGAGCGTTTGTTAAGCTACCACTATCATTGGGACACATCTTCCACAAATGGCCATCCCACAAGCAAGCCTCTCCATTTTCCTAGGATGTAAGAGAATGAGTATAGTAAATTTCCTACATATGACAACCAATGGCTACAGTCCTTTCAGTGAGACGCAATGTGCAAGTAGCTTGGATTAGCGCCATCTGAATGCTTACAGCCCACACTATGTTCTCAGGATGTCTATCTAGAGCAAACACGTGACAGAAGTCAACAGTCAGCAGACGTCCTTTCAAACACAATGCCCACCTACCAGCCCACCTGATTCGCCAGCATTTAGTGCTAACTTTTAGATTTGGTACCACTTACAGAAAAGTTCCTTAAGTGGCATTTTACCTTTTCAAAGGCATGTCGGAAAGTTTAGATTGGCAATTCATAAATACTCTTAGATTCATGTTTACCAGCTGAGTCAAAACCTAAAAAAAAAAACCAAACCAGATGACAAAATATTTAGGTTTTCTCTTAAGAAACATTATTTCACAATTAGTTAGGAAATAAACATTTTTAATTTATCAAGAAGAGCTATGAAAGTGACACCTGTCACAACGTCTTCACTGGAGAGGTTTTGAAAAGCAGAGCTGCACTGTGGCTTCTACCACACACAGGTAAGGCACAGTTCCACAAAGGGGCCGGGAAGGGTAAGGTTTGACCCCTGAGACCCAAATGGTAGAAGGCAAAAATTGACTGTTTGTTTTTTGAGACAGGGTTTCTCTGTGTAACAGCCTTGGCTCTCCTGGAACTCTTTGTAGACCAGGCTGGCCTCAAACTCAGAGATCTACCTGCCTCCACTTCCTGAGAGCCAGGATTAAAGGAATGCATTAGCATGCCTGGCAAGAACTGATGCTTGCAAGATGCCCTCTGATCTCTACCCATGTACCATGACATGCATGCACACAGACACACACAGAATGAATGAATGAATGAATGAATGAATGAGTTTTTAAAAGGCTATTGCAGGTCACTGTTCCTCTCTCAAAGTTTAGAACTCAGTTGTGAGGAAACAGCAAATGATGAATATTTAGCTACAAAAGAAAACACAACAGCTCTTTGTTTCAGTTCACAATAAAAAGCATGAAAAAGACATATGTATTAACACCCACAGAGAAGAGTAGGTGATCACACTATCCTAAAACAATCCCTGCTAGGGTTAGAGATATACTTCATTTGGCAGAATGGCCACATAGCATATGTAAGGCTCCATCCATGTTCAGGGTCTAGAATACGCATGTGCACACACGCACACGCACTTAAACGAAATGGTAGGATGTTGTGTTGGTTAGCATTTTTAATCATACATCAAAGTATAGCATCTTATACATATCTAACAGACATTATATAATCCATAAGGAAAATGAGCCTTTATTAGTCCTTATGAAAATGATATTATCCAACTCCTTTAGAAGATGTCTCAGGGACAAAGGAAGTACCCAGAAAAACCATACAGTCTATGACTACTTCATTAAACATAAGAACCACCTCCATAGCAGCCCTACCAAGAGCAAGGGGGCGAGCCTCTGTGCTTCTCTTGTGACAGGGTCAACGACAGCTACCACATCATAGTATGTGTCCCCTTCATTGGGCTTCAGTTTAATTGCACTAAAAAAAAAAAAAAAATATCAAAAGAGCAAAACATTAGCATGGAGGAAACATATGCAGATCAGAATCAACAAGTTAAAATGGTAATCACCTGTGAATAAAGCTATAGAAGGAGCTATACCTAAGTGAGGCTTGTGATTGGTCAAACTAGACGCTATGGAGCAAAAACATGCCAAATCCCTGTTCTGGAGACAGAAGTGTACTCTGCCGCCTTTTGGTCTGAAGAGCTCTCTCCTGCTCATTATCACTGGTGTTGTAGCAGGTATGCACCAGTAAAAGCTCTTACAAATGAAGAGCAAAGAGAAGGGAAGCAGTGACTCTCAAAGGATTAAAACTTCACCTAATTGTCCAAAACCATTTATTGCCTTGTTTGATCTGATACAAGTGTGACAGTGCAAGAACATTTGCCCCTGTGCTAACAGTACAACACAAAGCAGAATACAAACTGCAAACCACGTAGCAGTGGTTTAGCTGCTGCTGGTGGTTATTTCAAATGTTAGATGCTCTGGAAACAGCCACTACTACAGTACACGATAGTTCTGTTGCTATTTTCAAAAAAATCATCCCATGGGTGCTCACAGCGATTTCTAACTCCAGCTAGGGGATGCAATGCCCTTTTCTACTCTCTGTGGACACTGCATGCACACGGGTGCACACATATACACATGGGTAAAATGCCCATATACAAAAAATAATTTTTTTAAAAATTCTATAACAAAGAAAGGGACAAGAAAACTCAAGGGAGGCCGGGTGGTGGTGGTGCACGCCATTAATCCCAGCATTTGGGAGATAGGGATAGGTGGATCTCAGTGAGTTCGAGGCCAACCTGCTCTATAGAATGGGCTCCAGGACAGCCAGGACTGTTACACAGAGAAACCCTGTCTCAAACCATGCCCCCCAAAATACACCTCAGTAAAGTAAGTTACATGATTATAATATAATATAAACCAATACCACCATGATGTACTAGTGAGAGAAAACTCTAGAATAAAAATGACAGAAGACCATTCATGCCCATCAGGGAATAGAGCAAATATTCAAGAAAATTGTGTCTCCCAAATTATGTTCATAGGAATCACTGGGGAATCTTGCAAAGAGGCAGGTACTGACACTCTAGGTCTGCTGAACGGCCAAAGATCATTCATTCAGCAGGCTCCCAGACAACACCCTGTTGCTGATGGTCTGAGGCTCAAAGTAAGGGCACACAGAATTGATGACACAGGCATTTTTTTCCTTCTTTCCTTCCTTCCTTCCTTTTTTCTGTTTCTTTCTCACTGTTTAGCCCTGGCTATCCTGGAACTCATTCTGTAGAGCAGGCTGGCCTCAGAGTCGGAGATATACCTGCCTCTGCCTCCTGCGTACTGGGATTAAAGGCGTGCATCTCCACCATCCAGCTGCATACTCATTTTTATTTGCAGGAGAAATAATAACTATTTTTATGTAATAATTAAATGGCATTTATTTGGACACAGGTTTCAGCATATTGAAAAATCAGAAACAAAGACATCCATGAGCTGAATGGATAAAGCCTCTTGATAAAATAGGAATGACTAATTTTGATTTACATGTATCAAATATTGGCTAACACAACAACAGTAAGAATTTCTGTTGTACCATAAAAGAATTTGTAAATTTTAATTATGTAAAACTCACAAAGCTCACAGAGAAAGAATGTTGTAGAGAGGGCTCAGGCTTCACTGAGGAAGCTACTATCTTGGCTATGGAAGGCAGATGGGACAGCAGAGCAGTGGCTCTCGCCTGTGCTGCTACCTAGCCGTTTCTTACAGATGCAGTGTTGAGAAGAGAGGGGCTGCAGGTGCATAGCACGCTGCCAGTGGCAAACTACCAGAGAGTTATCCTGGGCCACAGAGCCGTAGCCTATTAGAGACGTAAGAAATTAGAAAAAGGCTGAAGATGTAGTTTAGTGACAGAGAGTGACTGTTTAGCTCGCACAGGCCCTAGATCAGACAGCAGGGTAGGGGTAGGAGGGGGAAAAATAGAGATAGCAAAGCAATCAATAAATGAGGGGACACGGGCTTGGAGAGAGAGCTCAGCAGTTAGGAGTGCATACTGCTCTTGAAAAAAAGGACCTGAGTCTGGGTTCCAGCCCCTACATCGTGCATTTTACAACCACCTATAATTCGAGCCCCAGGGGGACTCCAACAGCCTAAGACCACCATAGGCACCTGCACATATATGCACATATGTATACAAGAGATATGAATAACTTCAATGTGTGGTCTGGAGCATCAGAGAAATCTCAACAGAGACTCTCTGTATTAGCATTGCGGGATGAAGATCACATTTCTCAGGTATGTTCACAGAACTGTGGATCAAGCCTCCACATACCAAATACATGTTATATAATGTGGGCAATGAATTTTCAAATGCTAGAAAAAAAGATGTGAGCATAGGCAAATATATGTAATACACATATGCACACTACACAATGATAATACTAAATATGACCAATAACTAGTAAATCTGAGTTACATAGAAAACTGCACACTAAACCTCTCATTTCTCAATAACATACAAGGCTTCCAAAACCTTATATGGAAAAACAAAGGATGTGAGACAAAGGAAAGCCTAAGAGTTTAATATTCAGGAATGTGCATAAATTCAACATTACTTCTATACCTGTGTTTGTCTTCAAAGTACTGGTAGTCGATCCTTGCCTCGCCTTTGGGTTGCGCTGACAGGAGAGCATCCACCTTCATTACCAGGTCACTTGCCCTAAAAGATGGAGTTATGAAATCTTAGCATCACTTTATCTGCAGATTTTCTAATTATTGCTGAACACCATCAGTCCAAATACAGAATCAATGCCAACAAGGTGTTTAAAAGAGGCATGGACTTAGCACCAAAAGGCACGATTCTGTGAACAGCTTGATCATCTTGGAATGTAACTTTTCTCCACGTATGAAGGACAGGTACTACCTGCTTTGCAAGGTTGTTGTAAATACTGTGCTGGCTACACATCTTAGGACCTAGCTGAGGGCCTGGTTTAAATAATGCTATTACTTCTAAGGATTATTGCACCAAAATCTATTAACCTAACCAGTCATTCAACATCTATGCTGGTTTTCTGACTTCAATATTAGAATCAGCATTACAATATGCAATTTAAAAAAGATCTATGAGTTGCCGAATATTTCTGGGCTTGTTCCTAGTGTGGGGAAAAAAATAAAACTGTAGTACTAAGTTTTTATGAAAACATCTCAGGACCCCCAAGACAGAACTTTTGGCAAATCTCACAGCAAAGTTAGAAATACCCCTTGAGATCCTCTAAAGTGTTTAACCGGCTGTCTTACTGTGCACTCAGTCCTTAAGTTTAACCTGCCATTTAGAGAACAATGTAACCTTACTAGTCATGGATTTCCCATGCAATCAGCTTTTACAATGTAAGCTAATATATAGATTTTTATTATTCCATGCTCCTAACCCATGGGTGTGTGTGTATTATGGTAATCATTTGCTGGAATAGCTAACAGGTTGAAAGTAATCTTATAAATAAATACCTGACATAGATGTTGGAAGTAACATGTAAATATAGGTTGAAAACATAGTTTCCTATTCTAGCTTGGTCAAATTACCTCTTCCCGTGTAAAAATCTTGTTAAATTTCTATAAAGAATTTCTCATTCTTTCCCATGACATACTTTATTAGAGAAAGGTAAAGAAACGGACAGATAAAGACCACACACACACACCATACTACAGATGGGCCAGTAACCACAAACTACAGAGAGATGAAAGAGACGGGAAAAGAAATGGAGAATTCGAGTTGGGCTCACCCTTGGTCAAATTAATCCAAGAAGTGTTTTGTTTTCATCCCTTAGTGCCACATCAATCCATTTTGGTGCTTCTGAGGTTCTTTAATGTGTAAACAGACATAAAACAAAACAAAACAAAAACTCCCTGTTTTACCTTCCCCCTCTATTTAAAAAATGTTTAAATTACATTTATGTATTTGTACACATGTGTGTGTGCTCTCACACACTGTGGATGTCAGAGAATAACTCAAGGAGTCGGTTAGTGGTTACCTCTTCCCACCATATGGGTGCCAGATATCAAGCTGAGGTTGTCAGCACTGAGCCATCTCACTGGTCTGCTAACCCCTTCAAAGCTGATTTATAACCAAAGAAGATTTGAGCTACAGATGTCATGAGCATAAAGAAGCTAGACTCGAACACAACACCCCAGTCAAGCCATCAAAAGAACAGCTGGGATAGACTTCAATTATGACCAATTTTGTGCATTTTCTCTGTGAACCAAACAATCACATCGTAAGCCACTCCTTTAACTTCCCAGTATCAACTGTGAACACTTCTGGCACACAGAACAAGCAACTTCCTACTTATCACAAGCACTAAGATCAAAGAGTACACAGCCAAGCTTCAGAAAGCTATGGCTGTAACAGGACTTTTTCTCAGTCTGGGGAAGTAGCCCAGTGGTATAAAACGTTCCTAGTATATATGAGGGTCTAGGTTCCACCATCCACAGCACCACGCATACACACCAAAAATATATGTTACATGACAAAGGGGCTACTTTGGTAGCTGTCAAAGACAACATATCACTAAAAGATGCAGTGTAACTGTACATGTAAGAGATGAAGGGGAAAAGAGACCTTCCATTTCTTCATATCCTCCAAATAGGAATCAAATGGCATTATTCAAAGGATAAAAGGGTAGCCAAGGGAATGGGGAAAATATTTTCAAATCACAGATCTGATAGGGAACTGACATCCAGAATTAAAGGAATGTCCACAATTAAACAAGAAAAACAAAGAACCCTATTTAAAGTGATGAAAAGATTAGACTAGATAGTTCCCTGAAGATTTGCACTGGCTGATGTGCATGAGACACGGTCAAACTTTAAGGGGACACCACTCCAGAACCGGAGGATGGCTACTGCCTAAAAACAAACAAATGAAAAGCAAAAGAAAATGTTGGTGAGAATACAGAGAAACCAAGACCAGGAGCACTGTGGACAGGAATGTAGAATGATCGGCTACTGCGGAAAACAGGGTAACAGGTGCTTATCACGAAACAAATAATCCCCAACTGCACATCCCTGTGACATCTAATGCAGAAAGGACTACAATAACCATGGGCTTTTGTTACATGGCAAATATATGGTCCCTTCAAACAATCTAATTTTGGAAGTTAACATACTTCCAAGACATTAGTTAGTAAAAATAATAAAATAATTAAATCACAAGCCAGCAACATCTAATTTATCATTCCTCTGCAAGAAAAACAGCTTTGGATCCCACACAGGTATGCAGAGGAAAAGAAGCATTCGGCATGCATTTCCTCCCCAGCACAATGAAGCTGAAGGAGACCATAGAGCCAGCAGACAGTCTCTACACACACACCCCATAGAAAGCAGACTCGGCCCTCATGTGTTTGAACTTTTCCAGATTCAAAATGGAGAGAAATAATTCAGAAACATTAAGTCAGAACTTGAGCATTATTACAGTAAAATTGGAAATAAATCTACTGTCTTGGTAATATATTTGACAATATATAGTCCTCACGTTGATTAATGAGGAGAAATTAATAAAACTCCATGACATGTTCTATCTTCTAATTAGAAAACCAGTTTTATCATTATCATCTAACTAGTTACTAATTATAAAAACTTACACGTCTTCTTCTACACGAAGCTGTTGGATGTGAGATTTTATTTTCTGTCCTGATGTTTTTAAGATGATGTTTTCTAGGAGGTGGAAATCATCTTGATTAAAGAGCTCATTCTCCTCCAGTGGCCCGATGATCTGTGAGGTAGAGAGCAGGGTCAAGCTGCAGAGTGGTGGTCACAAGCTGCTGTGAAGCCTCTGCTAGCCCTGGGATAGATGACATTCCCAAGCATCTTACAATCCCAAGCCTGAAGCATGTCTTTGAATGAATGAAAAATAAAAACTAAAGCCTGAAAAAACTCAGTTAACATTTACTATTCATCCGCAGGCAGTAGGGATGCGTGATTCATGTTAATTTTCTGAGCAAACTGACAAGAAACAGCAGTGTCATCTGCACTGGTACTCAGCAAACAGCAGCGAGGCCTACTTTACAGGTAGCTGCACTAACTTCTGTTCTGAGAGCCTCCCACTCTCTGCTTCCCTCACTGTCAAGACACAAATAAAGATCAGGGGCCCATGGGGGGGGGGGGCTGCATCAGATGCACACTTTCTTCGAAAGACAGGACAGACCTCTCTGCACCAGTACTCGAAGCCTGTCAGTTAATAGGAGGGCGGCTCTAGTGCAGACCATAGACATCTCAAAGGACAGAGACAGCTAAAGACCTATCAAAAGCAAGCTTCGCAGCCCAGACAGTCCTCACCCTTCCATTGCTGATCACCATTCTCTGCCCCTTCTTCAGCTTCAGAACATCTCTGCAGTACAGGGCATGAGACAAAATGAAATCCATTTTGGAAGACTCAAAGGCCTCTTTAAAAAGACTGACATCCATGCCCTAGGAAGTAATCATTTTTAAGAAAAGCCACTATTATTAAGCAAGCCACATAAATGAATAATAACAATGAGTAAACTATAAAGTGCCTTTATGAAAATAACCAAATTTCTTAATTAAAATTATAATATCTTAATTCTCCACTTTCTCTTCTTTCTTCCCTCCTCATAAATGGCTCATTCCGTTTTCTTGTTTTCTACTGATTTGTTTACCTGGCAGTCTATTCTCAGTAACTTTACTTTGCATCTTTAAATATTGATTACTTCAGGTGACAGTCGGTTCCTCTAACCAAAACTCAATATATTCATAATTCTATAAGAAGTTTTAAAAATATAAAAGCACTGCCAAAAGTAAGTAACACTAGACAAAAGAATAAACATGGGCTTTTGCCAAGCGGTGGTTGTGCACACCTTTAATCGCAACACTTGGGAGACAGAGGCAGGAGGATCTCTGTGAGTTCGAGGCCAGCCTGGTCTACAAGAGCTAGTTCCAGGACAGGCTCCAAAGCTACAGAGAAACCCTGTCTCGGGAAAAAAAAAAAAAAAAAAAGCTTTCATCAGAAATAAAAACAGCTGAATTTCTAACTCATAAACATCTTAAATCTGTTTTTTACTTACAAAAAAATCAAATATTGTCTTTTAAAGATCATATAAACAAAGTGGCACAAACTTGTATCCTGTGCATCTTGAAACTAAAACAAGTTTAAAAGTAAAATATAACATGACAGAATTATTTCTTGTTAAGATTCTAACTCAACAACAACAAAAAATATTCTGAGACTCAGAAGCAATCATCACAAACTCAATTATGAATAGTATACATCAGCCCGGGAGAGAGACATGAATGGCCAGGCTAGCCCCAGAACCTGCGAGCCTTACCCCAACAGAGAATTCCCCAATGTCCATTCCTGCAGCCAGGGCCTCTGCTGTCTCCTCTTTGGCCATTTTGGTGATGAAGTTCTTAGCAGAGTTGGAGGTCTGTGTTTGGAGAGCTGCCCAGATCGCTCTGGAGATTGGAGTGCTCGAGTAACTTATCTCTTGGCTGGGATTATTGATCATACTTATCCTAATATTGTTACTGGTTTTCTATTTACAAAAAGGGAGATAAGAATTATTCAGTACATGTTATTAACTTTAAAAAAGTAACACTGACCAGGCATGGTAGTCCATGGGTGCCTTTAATCTTAGCACTCGAAGGCAGAGGCAAGCAGACATCTGAAAGCCAGCATGGTGAGACCTTGTCTCAGGGGTGGTGTGCAGGGCACACAACACTAACAGTAGTCATGCTCCACAATAGCAATATCTCTTCCACACATCTTCCGTAGTTATCTGCAGTCAAAATTCTGACAATATTTATGGTCAGGTCTGCCAAATCCTGTATGAACTGGCCACAGACTTTCTTTCCAACTTCATTTCTTTTTGTTGTTGTTGTGTTTTCGAGACAGGGATTTTCTGTGTAACAGTCATAGTTATCCTGGAACTAGTGCTTGTAGACCAGACTGGCCTCGAACTCACAGAGATCCTCCTGCCTCTGCATCCCAAGAGCTATGATTAAAGGTGTGTGCCACCACTGCCTGGCCCAACTTCATTTCCATAGGCACAGCAGACATCAAGAGTGCTGCTTCTCCAGCACATTGTGAACTCTAACTGCACTCCATCTTTTCTAAACTCAAACCTTTCCTCAGGTTCCTGCTCAGCCATCTTCATCCATATGGCCTTTTCAGATGCCAGCGGCAAGGAGTAAAAGACAAGCCATCTAATCAAATCAAAACATCAATCTACACAGAAAAAGATGGAGGACCATAAAACCAAAGAGGGCTTTTATCAAGAATGTAAGCTGGCCAGTGAGATGGCTTAGCCAGTAAAGGTGCTTGCCACCAATAAATCCCTATGCCTCAGGGTGGAAAGAAAGTACTTTCCCATAAGTTGTCTTCTGACCTCCACTTATGCACCATGCCATGTATGTGCCTCTTTCCATAAATAAATAAATTAAAACGTGGCAAAAAAAAAAAAAACAACCCACAGACAAACAAACAAAAAAGGGATCAGGCACTGGAGAGAGGAGCCAGCTGCTAAGAGCACTTGCGGCTTTTTTAGAGAGCCCCCATTTGATTCCCAGCAACCCATGACAGCTCACAACTATCCATAACTCCAGTTCTGGGGGCTCTGATGCCCTCTTTGGCCTTCTTGGGCATCAGACATACATGTAGTGTGTGTGTGTGTGTACATATAGGCATATATATTTAATACATAAAAATAATTTTTAAAAAAATCATTTAAATTTAAAAAGTCAGCTCACAAAATGTTAAGGAACTAAATACAAATGTACATCCTAAGATCTTATGATTCAAGAAGAGGGAGGGAACAGAGGCTGGGGGCCATCAGTGATATCATTATTTATGGATCTGGGACGCAGGGGCATACTTGTTTATGACACTAAGTATATGAATATGTACTTCACCTCAATGAAAATCAATATTTAAGAGCTAAGAGCTAGACTCTCCTTCCTGGTGTTCCCAGTCGGCAACCATGTGAGGAATTTCTCCACTTACAGTAGAGAGCCCTATGTGTACATCTGTCAGCCATCATTAGGAACTGCCTGGGCTTGACCTTCAACTGACCACAGTATCCCACCCAGTGTCTCAAACAATGAAAGCCCTTGGTACCACAGTAAAATTAAAATCGCTGGATATTTTCTTATTTCAGTCAGACTTCTTGAGGCTCAGGTTAGAAAGGGACACAAAGAGAAATGCGACTTCTAGATGAAGCTGCAAAGTGAAATAGTCAGGAAGAAGGACCTTGACGTCTGATGCTGACAATAATACTGTCCAAAAGAAGCCACTTCTCAACCACTCCGCACTGCAATGCGTCAACTCCTAATGTATATATACAAGCTGATTTAGAGTAACTATGTGAACACTCCTCTGGGAGCCTGCATCTACTTATGTGGAACACATGCCAACCTGCTGGCAGGCGGCCTCTCTTGATGTTGCAGTACATGGCAAGATCACTGCAGCAATGACCTGTACAGTCAATGCGAGAAAATCCTACACTGAGAATCTCATTATGTTTTCCCTTAAAGAATCTACTCCCTTGAGTGAAGCTAGGCCTGTAGCAAGGAGCTGACAACCGTGGAAGACACTACGCTCATTTCCCTCAGCACACCCAGAAGCATCAGAATCACTAGAATTACAGAGGTGATCACAAGGCCAACTGGAGCCTCAGAAACAAACAAGCAAACAAGCAAACAAAATACTCCATAATCCCCTCCCAGAATGAAATCTGAGAAACTTGCCTGATGTTTAATGGCATCATATAATAATTGCCGTCCAGAAGGGCTATCAAAATCCCCAACAATCCAAAAAGTCACTGGCCTAATAAAGGAATCGTCTGCAGAAAAACAAAAACAACAAACTGACTAGAAGGGGGAAAAAAGATAATCTTTGTTTCAACATTAAAATTAGGCCAAATAATTTCTGGAAAACATGCAATAAGAAAATGGCTGGTTTGATAGAGATATAAAGCAAGAAGGTAGTGGAACTTCTCTACTAATATGAAGGAGAGCCATCTTCCAAGCAGCTCAATTAGAAAGTAGGACCATGCATTGATTAACTGTCCTGTGGTCTGAGATCTGTTAGCATACACAACGAAACATGCAGGCAATGCAATGTAGTATTTAATCATGGTAACTGACAACTTTCTGAGAGCTCTGCAAGCATTTATACAGTTTATCTACACTCTACTGTTACCCACAGGTTTCAGAAACATCACAATGAAATGTCAATAAATTCTGAATAACAAAAGTTCTGAAACTATAGAAGTTAGTTATGAAAATGAAGGGATCATTCTGGAGTTTTGAGTTACCATAGATTTCCTTGGAGGACATTCCTGGACAAAGGCAAAGAAAAAAGAGTAGAGAAAAGAGAATGTCACTTGTATAATTGAACGCCCATCAGAAAAATCACACACAGCTCCCGCGGCTGTGCTGCTTTCTGCTCTAGTTCCCATCGTGCCCAGGCTCTGTCCTAGGAACCCTCACTACAAAGCCTCAGAGAAACCTAGTGGACTAATTGTGTGAATGGATACAGACATGGGAATCAGAGAGAGGATCGCAGCAGGGTAAACAGAGCTGTCCTAATGACAACCAGTGCTTTTCAGAGTAGCACGTATTACTAGAGCCACTCTGGAAGGGTAACCATGTCAACTCCACCAGAGGGAAGGGACCTGTCTGCACTGAAAACAGTCACTCTGGACAAGTGTAGCTGCAGTAACTGCAGAAAATTACTTCAGAGAATTACACAAGGCTTCTAGAATCCAGATTATCCTGTAAGTGCCAACAATAAAATTAACTCTATCAAGTTATTGAAGAATCAGGCAAAATCTTTTCATATAATGCTTTCCATTTTGAACTATAAAAAGGCTTTTCCTATCAATTTTAATGATAAACATAAAACAAAATTTGCATTTTTAAATACATACACAAAATTACATCTTGAATATATATTTTCTACACTTGCATTATAACAGAAAATTAACAAAAGGAACTATGGAATCTTTTTTCTCAGGACAGTAGGATGGAGTTATATTTTCAAGAACTAAGTAAAAAATAAATATGTTGGATCCAAAACAAGGCCAAATGTCTTACCTTTCTTTGTCAGATAGTTCATACTGTTGGCTATAGCAGCAGTCTTGCCCCTAGAGTCCAGGGCAGAAAATCTGGCAAAATCATCCACAAAAAAGTTATCTGGGGAAAAAAGAAAAAATTTAAACAGATGCATAATTAATAAACCTCAATGCAATTTACCATTAATATTCAACTGATAATCGGCTTTGAGCATAATAGAAGATGCAGAAAATGTATGAGTAGAGGACATTAGGTGCTGCTCACTAGGAGGAAGTTGCTCTTGGAAGGGATACGGGTACCTGCCTTTTTGCTTCCCAGCCAACATAGGAAAGCAGAGCTGTCACACACACACACATAAAATTGGGGCTGGAGTTGTAGCCAAGTGGTAAAGCACTATACTTTCCAGCATGTATATGACTCTAGAATGATTAAAAAGTGCTGTGGGAACTTCAGCCAATAGCATTTAAGATACTGGCCATTTTGACATGGTCTCATTACCATAAATGCAGATGTAAAGTATGTGAGGGCCCTTTGGCTGCCGGATTCGGTTCCAATTACCAGAGCACACAGAGGGCTGCAGATCACTACTCTTCCTGTGAGTTTACCCCCTAATAAATAGACCTTTGTTATACTCCATTCTGAACTAGTGTGGAACTCGTTTGTACAACAAAAAAGAAGTAAGACTAAAACACAGGTTGGGTTTCATGGCATATGCATTATAGCTCAACAATTCCCGCCCCACCCCTTTTACCACGGCGAGTTCCAGGCTGAATTCAGTATATACCCAAACTTGTAATCCCCCTCCTCAGCTTCCCAAGGACTAGCACTGAAGTCATGTTTTACCCTGCCCAGCAGAAACTACTACTTTTTAAAAAGTACCCCTAGGGCTGCAGAGTAAGTCTAGTTGACGTACTTGTTGGGTTCTTACTCAGTATTGACTCTAGATGAGGACAAGGACTAAAGAACTATCTAGTGCTCTATGGCTATAAGGTGGCCAATACAGGTCCATTCTTATCATCTAATGGCATCATATATTTGGCATTTAAATAGCACAATATTTTTTTATGGTTCATAGGTTTTACCTAGAAAAAAATTATCCCTATTTACTCATCTATTTGTTGGGATTCTAGAGACAAACATTTTTATTAACGATAGTACCATATTTTGGCAAACACTTCAACAGATTTGTAAATACAATGCTTCTCTTTTTAACCAGAAGCATTTTATGACAATTATCATAAGACTACACAACCTGAATCAACATTAGCTCAAAATCCTTTTATTTTTGATCTCATAACTTATGTTCCTACATAAGTATCAAACAAATGATAGTTTAAATCAGCATCAAGAGATAAATTCCATGAAATGGAAGTTTGTGCTGTTTTATGAATCATAGGATGTTATGGTTAAGTATATGTATACTTCTTTATATTCCTGATATTCAGAATGAAAAATATATCTCGCCGGGCGGTGGTGGCGCACGCCTTTAATCCCAGCACTCGGGAGGCAGAGGCAGGCGGATCTCTGTGAGTTCGAGACCAGCCTGGTCTACAAGAGCTAGTTCCAGGACAGGCTCTAAAACCACAGAGAAACCCTGTCTCGAAAAACCAAAAAAAAAAAAAAAAATCTCATATAGGTAATAGTTTCTCTGCAAATGTCTTCAAAAATACTTTACAGTAGTAGGCAAAGATATAGTAGTATATAAATAGGTTATCTACATATTTAATTTTATAATTTTGCCCCAAACTATATTTTACTTTATAGTATATCCATTTTTGTTCAACATTAATAAAGCTGACACACTGTTGATATATGCATTTGTCTTCTATAACAGAAGCAGCAATAGGACAGAAAAAGACAAACAATACACCAACAACCTAGAGGAACATCATCAGCTGTTTAACCTGAGGCTGAGAGCGGCAGCTCTCACGCAGCTCACTCCACAGTAGCACTGTACAGCAAGTCAGTCCATATGCATGAAAGTGCAGAGCAGTCTATACCCTCACACACTTCTGCTTTTCAACCCTCCACAATAGTTTTGATTTTTTTGTATTTTGTATAAATGTCTAAATAACTTACAACTTAAGGCAAAGAGTTTGCATTTTAAAAAGCCAGAAAATAGGCTTTTGTTTATCCAAAAGCATTTTTCTTTGCACATTACTGCTTTGTTTCAAACACACACAACTCTTAAGTGTGAACACTGCATACCCGAAAGCTAAACCTCATCTCTAATGACAAACACAAGTTTTCAACGAAAAGTTGATTTGAAGTAGACACTGAATTTCCCAATATCTAAAACAAACAGACAAACAGGAAGAAAAAAAAACCCAAAAAACCTGCTTCTATTAACAAATAAGTTGGGGGAGGGATCAGCTTCAAAATGCAAGGAAGCAGAGTAAAACGAGGTGGGAAACCATCACTCACGTTCACTATACCGAAACTTTCATCAAGTTAAGGTTCATCTTTTACAATCTTAAATAAATAAGCTTAAGTTACTTCCCATATTTTGGTTCAAGCAGAGTTCTAGTGCCAGGACTGTGCTTACTTTTAGCTAAATTCCCTGAGTATCTTTTGATGTGAGCCAGTTTATTCCGAAGATACTCAAATCTGTATAATTCTTCATGGTCACTGGGACGGCTTGATCTTCCTAAACTCCTGTGCGACTTTTTCAAAAACATTCTGGTACTCTTTTGAGCTCAGAGAAAGGCATTTTCACTGTGCATGCAGTTTGATAAATCTAGCGACAGTCTCCATCCTGACATGCACAGCCCTGTATTCAGCATAGTCAGTACTGGAATCATCCCTGTAATTCCAGTGTTGTAATACAGTTACTGAGTAATCGGGGAGTTCAACTGTTGAAGAGGCTCCATGGAAGCAGTGCAATCTTCTTCAACTCCTTCACTGGGATTACGAGGAGTTACTCAGCTTGACAGTGTCTTCTCTTCGATAGTTTTTTCCAATGTCACACTTTTTTATTTGGTCCTTTTCGTTATGGGTTTTAGACCTTTAGACTTTGTTTTTGATATTTTGTAAGAAACTAGATGGTTTTCTTCCATAGGCTTTGGTGGATACTTTAGCAGATCTAGAAGAGTTTTCAGAGAAGTCCTAAGTCTTGCTGGTTCTCAAAGACACTAGCACTTTGACTAAACTTGTCTTATGTCTGCTAGCCTTCTGGAGCACCTGGAGAACAGGAATTGGAATTTATCATCTGAGGAATATTTGGGGAAGGCAGGTGGGTTAGGGGCAGAAGGCAGCAAAAGGCCTGCAAAGATTTTTCACTGGTGGGCTTCGAACAGCCACTTAACACCGGTGGGCTCTCGCTGGTCAGGTGAGATATTCAAGTGTTTTTTCTTCATTAAAGGATCAATGAAATCTGAGCCAAAAGACTGTTTCTGAGGAGAAGATGCTGCATCTCTGCTGGAACACACAGGGCATTCTGAATGGCTTGTGCCAGGGCGATGAGATGGGTTTAGTTTTCAAGACAGCATTAACTCTAATGACCGTCTGTCTGTCTAGCCACACCCTGGCCAGTCTGAGTGAAGCTCTTAAACATAACCCTTCAAGCACAAGAGAGGTCCTTAGGATGAAGAGTAGCCACCTGCTGCAGAACTGTCCCAAGGAGTTGGCTTTTTGATTGACACCTTCTTTCTGCAGTTGATCAAGCAGTTTTTCTCATAAGCCTTTAGCTCTCATAAGTGAATGATCCAGTCTCTAAACGGCACTGAGAAGAAACACTGCTGCCACCAAGTATGTGTCTTTTGAACTATATTTGCAGGATTCATGAGCGTTGACATTTTTCTCTTAGCCACCCCATCTGAGATGGCTTGAGGAACTTTCAAATTTGCACTCTTTTTCTACATATGGTCCACAGAGTCTGTAATGTTTATGCTTTGATAATGGGATTCCTCCCCTGCCTGCGTCATTCTTTTCCATGTAATTGCATAGGAATCATTTCCTGCACATGCAATTTATCCTGCACAAATGTGAAGTAGTTGAGCTGGGTGGCTTCAGGGCTAGAGAGTGTTCCATCAAAGTTTCCCTTAGGGCTATTAGCCCACATTTCACAAAGAGATAGGAACTTCACTGAGGGACTGTTTTTGGGAATTCTGACAAGCTAAAAAGACAACCTTGGAGTGCTTGAAAGTGAACTGAAGGTCAAATAGGAATTCAATTCCTGTGGCCCTGCCAAGTCTCCAGTGCCCAGATCACTGTTTTGTAAGCCTGTCAAGCTGCACTGTCCTGCCCCTGCCACCTCAGCCCATAAAGTACTGCTCTTCCCGAAGGCCCACATCACACCTTAAACTTCTGGGGGTGTCACCCAGGCTCCAGTTCCTACAGTCACCTCCACAACTGCAGCCTTTCTGCTGCAGATGTAATGTCATATACCGCTCCTGGCTAGACCCCCTCTCTTTCTTTCTCTCCAGCTCTTTTTAAATATTTATTTATTTTTATTTTATGTGTAAGAGTGTTTTGGCTGCATGTACATATGTGTCTGTGCCTTTGGAGGTCAGCAGAGGGAGCTGGGTCTCAAACCCCAGTCTTCTGCAAAAGCAGCAAGCATTTTTAATCACTGAGCCTTCTCGCCAGCCCCAGAATTTATCTTTTTTTATAAGGAATTTCCTGTGAGTTCAGAAGCATATATCATAATTGTGGTCTACCATCTTAGCATTATAATCTAACAAACAGAAGCAGGTGAGGCACAAATCAAAAGCTGAGTCGTTACTGAAATGCTCCTTACTGCTGGCTGTAAGATCCAGATACTCTCGTTTAGCGGTCAAAATCCGAGAATTGATTCGTGGAACAACATTTGGTTGATTCATGATATATTCTACCACATCTTGGTCATGTGGCAGTTCACCCTGTAAAAAAAAAGAAACAGCAGAGGCAGGAATGTCATAGGAGTATCAGCAATAATAATTCACTAGAAATAAAGCATTCATGGCTTTGAAACAGTTTGCTATAGTGTGGTTGCGTACACACAGTATCTCGAACTTCATCACCACATAGGGGTGATGGGGACATTCATAGAAAGACAGGGCTCAGGAACAAGAAAGCTAAGTCAGCTTTCCCATGGTAGGAGGCCCACAACCACTCTGTGGAGTCACTTCTTTCTACCTTTCCAAAGGTCCTAGGGAATCAAACCCAGATTGCTAGACTGGCCCAGCAAGCTCCAGACTCATTGAGCCATTTTGCCAGCCCTTGAATTCATTTTTATATGAAGTATAAAGTAAGGGTCAACTTTTGCTCTGCAATTAAGTGGATACAGAGTTTTCCAGTACATTTGTTTAAAAGGTCAGAAAATATCTATTTTTGGCTTTTCAAAACAGAATTTCTCTGTGTAGGCCTGGCTATCCTGAAACTTGCTCTATAGTCCAGGCTGGCCTAGAACTTAAGAGATCTGCCTGCCTCTGGCCTCATAGGTACTTGGACTAAAGGTGTATACCACCACTGCTCAGCCAGAAATAAAATTTTAAAATAAATAGATTTGTTCTAAATATCAATATACAAAAATCTTCAGAGACTGGGTATACACTGTTAACCCCAACACTCAGGGAAAGGTGGATCTCTGTGAGTTCAAGGTCGAGCTGGGCTATCTAGCAAGTTCTAGGCCAGCCAGTGAGACTCTGTCTCAAAAATAATTATCAGGGCTGGTGAGATGGCTCAGTGAACCAGGAGCTTGCTGGGCCAACCTGGCAGCCTGAGTTTGATATCCCATGTAAAGGTGGAAAGATCTAAACTCCACAGTTGTCCTTTGACTTCCACACACGTGTTGTGGCATGTACTTATCCAAATAATAATAATAATTGGAACAATTGTAAATTAAGTCAAAATAGGTCAAAGATTTACCCTAAAGATTTGCAATCATAAAAGTCTTAGAAGAAAACACTAAAGAAAAATTTAATAGTAGCTGAACAATGGCTTAGCAGTGCTTTCTTGGATAAAACAATGAAGAGCACAAAAACAAAATGAAAGAATAAAGTCCATCAGAATGGGAACTTTCATGCATCAAAGGACATTATCAAGAGCGTAAAGGACTAGAGGCGTAGGTCCGATGGCAGAGTGCTTGCCTGGCATGCACAAAGCTCTGGCTTCAGTCCCCAGCACTGCAGGATTCACTGCAGGATTAGGCAAGAGAGCAAGGGATAGACAGAAACCCTCTAAACAGCCGCTGAGAGGTGAGTGGATAAAAGTGAACACACACATACACACTTACACACATGAATGCACACACAAAATGATAATAAGTAAAAAAATGTAAAAGTCGGTTGGAAAAGATCTACAGGATAGTGGCAAGGGTTGCATAAAACTGTGACTGAAGAAAATGCCAGTTCACTGAACACTGAAAGTGGCAATATTTCATGCTCTGTATCTTTCACTATAAGTCAGGTGCTTAGCTACTTTTTTATTTCTATGACAAAACACCATGACCAGGCAAACTTATAAAAGAAAATGTTTAATTTAGGGTTCACGGTTCCAGAGGATAAGAGTTCATGATTTTCAGGGCTGGAGCATGGCAACAGGCAGAAAGCCCGGCACTGGAGCAGTAGGAGGCAAGGAGAAATAACCAGGAAGATGGAGTGGGCTTCTGAACTCTCAAAGCCCACCCTCCCAGTAACACTCCTCTTCCAATACCCGTCCCACATATCCTAATCCTTCCCCAATAGTTTCACCAACTAATGACTAAGTTTTCAATGTACACACCTATTAGGGTTATTCTCATTCAAACCACCACAGAGGTAATGGATTCACGTTATAAAAGAGGATATAAAGCTAATAGCTTCTCTAGGTCCCATATTATCTTGGAATTTTTTTTTTGGGGGGGGGGGGCTAGAACTCACAGAGATCCACCTGCCTCCTGAGAACTAAGACTAAAGCCATGTGTCACCACGCAAGGCATAACACAGAATTTTACTACTGACTAAAGAAGCTACAAAGTGGGCCTGGAGAGATGGCTCATAAGAGCATTGGCTGCTCTTCCAGGGTCCTGAATTCAATTCCCAGAAACCACATGGTGCTCACAACCATGTATAATGAGATCTGGTGCCCTCTTCTGCTGCTGTGCAGGCACACATGCAGGCATAACACTGTATACATAACAAACAAATAAATCTTTAAAAAAGAAGAAGCTACAAAATATAAACCACTTGCTTTCAAAATTGTCCTGAAAATACCACTCACCAAATATACCACCCTTTGGAAGAAGGACGTGGTCTCCAAGATCTTGTGCATTGTAATGGTTTCCAACTCATCAGGATCCAAATGTTCCTTTTCAAAGGGCATGCCATTGAACAAGACAACGGGCAGGGGACCAACACCAATCTGCTCATAGTAGCCTCTCGCTTCCTAGAAAACAAAGGACAAAAGAAAGCACATATTCCCCTTCATGATACACACAGAACAAAACAGTTTCTTACATGCCTGCTTAAATTAAAAAAAAAAATAAAATAAAAAAGTTAACAGGGCAGGCAAGATGACTTAGTAGGTAAAGACACTTGCTTTGTAAGACCTGAGTTTGATCTCCAGAACCCAAGTAACAGACTACAAAGTTGTCGTCCCTCCATATGTGTGTACACAATAATAATAAATAAAAATAATTTTTTGAAAAGAACAAAAGAAGGGCTAAAGAGATGACTCGGTCATTAAGATCTCTGTGAGTTCGAGGCCAGCCTGGTCTACAGAGCTAGTTCCAGGACAGGCTCCAAAGCCACAGAGAAACCCTGTCTCGAAAAGTCAAAAAAAAAAAAAAAAAAAAAAATCTTACTTAGTAAATGTGAAATTAAATTATTGAACTTTAAGAAACAAAAACTTTACAGACTAGGGAATGTGTATATGTCTGTTTATGTGTGTGAACAGTCCTCCAGGCTTCTAAAACTGCATCATGTATACAATGCTCATTGTACAACAAACTTTCTGCAATTGTTGGGAGTAGATTCTTCACCACCCCAATACAGTGCTTACTGGCAGCCAGCAGGCTCAAGTCCAGAGGATAAAAGAGCCCCTGGAAACTGGTAACACAGGGGTAGATACAAAAGAAACAAGAGCTGAGGAAAATGGGCTGCCTGAATAAAGCAGAGAACAGCAAGTTGCTGCAAAGGTCACTGCAGCAATTGGGAGTACACAGACACTTGTTTCAAGTTTCTTCACCTCAGCAGAGACAAGAGACTTGCAGGGCCTGACTGAGAACTCTGGGAAACTTCTCAGGCTCAGGGCTCTGTCCCCCACTCACCCACATTTACTGCTCTTCCCTGATTAGTCCTACTTTTTCCACCTAATGCACACTGATATTCAGCCACACATTTCTTTAAATTTGGGCAACAATTGAGGAAGGGAAGGCAGATTTCAGAGCCCAGCTCCAGCTGCTTCTGCCTTCTTCAGAGGAAGAAACTAAAGAGCTCAGCAACCAGCTCCTAGCCAGGCTGCTCACTAGAGAAGCAAAACCGCTTTCAAGAATTGCCAGAGACACATCTGTTGGCTCCCTGTGACTGTGGCTTCTGTCCCAGGCTGGGAGCCCACTCCAACCTGCCTCAAGGACTCAACGCCAATCAGCAGACAGAGGGATTCTTTCCACACCTTTCCACACGAGGTTGGGCTGTAAAAGGGTTCTCGCATTCTTACATTGCCTTACTAAGTTTTGGCTATTAACTTTTATAGCACTTTCTAAAAACCAAAGTACAGCAAGTGTTTTCTAATATTCTCACAGTGTAAGAATCAACATTGTTTTGGTTGTAGGTATGTAAATATGGACAAACAAAGTACTTGGTTTTATGTCACCCCCCAAAAAGCTTAAGTTTTCTCTTCTTTCACCTTCACATGAGTTTGGAGGCTTAAATTCAGGTTGCCAGGCTTACATAGTAAGCATCTGTACCAGTAAGCAATCTCACTGGCTCTGGTTATTACATTTCTTTTCTTTTTTGTTTTATTTTATTGTTTTTTGAGACAGGGTTTCTCTGTGTAACAACTCTGGCTCTCCTGAAATTTGCTCTGTAGACCAGGCAGGTCTCAAACTCAGAGATCTACCTGCCTCTGCCCCCAGAGCTCTGGGATTAAAGGTGTGCACCTCCATAGTTGGCTAGTTAACAGACACGTCTGGAGCCTGAACAATGATGTAAAGTCAAACAGTACATATTGTGCCATACACCACCTTTTGGTTCTATACTTCCAATAGGTTTTATCCAGAACATACTTCATAGAAGTACAACTACTACATTGAAAAAAGTAATTGTTTTCCAATTTAAAAGTTAGCATGCAAGTTAAAAAAGTACTATTGGGCTGGAGAGATGGCTCAGAGGTTAAGAGCATTGCCTGCTCTACCAAAGGTCCTGAGTTCAATTCCCAGCAACTACATGGTGGCTCACAACCATCTGTAATGGGGTCTGGTGCCGTCTTTTGGCCTGAAGGCATAGACACAGACAGAATATTGTATACATAATAAATAAATATTTTAAAAAAAATAAGTACTATTTTCTGACCTAGAATCACTTTTCAAAGACTGACAAGTGAGGCTAGATATGGTAGCAATATGCCTTAATCCCAGCACTCAGAGGGTAGAGACAGCTGATCTCTGTGAGCTCAAGGCCAGCCAAGGGCCACACATTCAGATCCTGTCTCCTGGAGGGGAGAGGAAGGGGGAGGAAGGTGGGGACTAAAAAGCGGTCTGTCTACATTTTGAAATGCTAGGTACTGAGCACTTTTATCAACACCCCACTACAGACACCATCCAACCCAGTCTAATGCAGCAGTCATGTCAAAATACCAAGGAACTAAGTTCTAAAGAAAGTGTTACCTTCCGGTTCTGATCATAAGCAGAATCAATCCCCAGAATGCTATTCACTTCGACATACGGGTATTTCTTCTCCAAGACACTGACCACATGTTCAACTTTCACTTTTTCTCCAGTCCTCACCTTGTTATAGATCTAAAAAAAGAAAAATAAGTAACCAACTACACTTTTAAATCCAAATTTCAAATGTGAGGAAGTCTCTAAACACATTAGAAAAATAAGACTACTTTTATTAAGAAGCAAACTGGAACTCCTTAGCAACACTATCATTTCAATATTCCTTATAAGATACCTTTGATTAAGAACCGAAGATTTTTCTTTCTTTCTTTTGTTAAGACACAGTATCATCACAGTATCATCATGAAGGCCTGGCTAGCTAGGAACTTGCTATGTAGATCAGATCGGCCTTGAATTCAGAGAAGCCCCAGCAGCTGAGTGACGGAACTAAAGATTTCTTGAAATGATCTTCTCAGTAAATAAATACATTATAACCCAAATGTGGGGAGGAGGGGTGCAGGAAAAATGCTTTAGGAAGTATCAGAAGCCAGGTGTGGTGGATCATACCTGAGATAGCCAAGGCCTGGGAAGATGAGGGAAGCAGACCCAGAGTTTTTGGCTAGCCTGAGCTATACAGAAAGACCTTATCTCGGAAGACAAAAAAAAAAAAAAAAAAAAAAAAAAAGAACCAGGCACGGTGCTGCACAGCTAACACCACAGCACTGTGGGAGACAGGAGAATCAAGAACTCAAGGTCATATTCAACTACACAGTTTTTCCAAAGCTAGCCCTAGCTATATGAGACTGTGTTAACAAAAAGGAGAAGAAAAAGAAAAAAGGAAGGAAAGAGGCAGACAAGAAGAAAGAAAAGGAAAAGATGAAAAAATACCATAAGAAAGTCTCAAAAAAAAAAAATGATATAAAAAAAAAAAAGTAGAGAACACCACATTGCCCAAAGGCATTAACTGATGATTTCACAGAATCAAAGTGCAGAGGACTGTAACATGTATGCTATTCTCTCTCTTCAGGAATCGCATCTGATGACCAGCATTATGGCTTGACATGCCTGACAACCAAGTCTGATCCCCAGATCCCATGGGAGAAGGAGAGAACCCACTCAGAAGGTCATCCTCTGGACCTGCATTACTGTACAGTAGTGCACACGTGCCCCTCCCCCCAGCAACAGAGTCTAAACATTAAAATAAACACAGCAATCTATTATTTTCACATCAGTGAATTAATAATGTATAAGGAACCCTGAAATATAAAACACTAGAGTTTATATAAGAATATACTTTACCTTTTCTCTTTACATAAGTACAAAATACCACTAACACAAACTGTTTTAGAGTGAGTTAAATTTCTTAAAAAGTATTTGCCATTTTGAACAAAAACATACATGTGTGAGAATCTGGAAGGCGTGGTAACCATCCACTTCTTGGACAACATAATTATACGCTCTCAGAACAGCAACTCCAGCATCTTGCATCCCATCAACGTCTTCCGAGTCATTGACCACAAAGATAAAACCAATCCTGCAGAGAAGAAGAAAAGGGGCATTTTAAAGAAGGCAATCAGCTAGAGGCGGTGGGGTCCCGCTGCTCACTTCTAACTGAGAAGCACAGTCAACATCCCACTCTAAACAAGGCTGGCAAAGCTACATACACATCATTTTAAAAACACAAGAGTAGGGTCACAAAACAGGTTAGGCTTTTCCACAGTGAAGGCTCTTAAAGAGTCTTGACTAGATTTCTTTAATGTCATGAAGAGCTTGATACAGTGATAGGTAGAAATTCTGTTCTGCTTTTAAGTTGGGAGGACTGGAGAAACAGCTCAACTAGTAAGAGCACTGGGCGCTCTTGCAGAGAGAGTACCTGGGTTCTGTTCCCAGCATCCAAATCAGATGGCTCACAAGGGCCTCTAGCTCCAATTTCAGAGCATCTGATGCCCAATTCTAGCCTCTGTGGGAACTGTGCGTATGTGGTGCACATACAGACAAGCAGGAACATACACATAAAGAATAAATACATTAATTTCAAAAATCCGGAAATTGAGGCTGAAGAAAATGTAAATGTAACTAAAACAATATAAAAGGAAGCCAGGATCACAGCTTTAATCCCAGCACTCAGAAGGCAGAAACAAGAGGATCTCTATGAGTTCAAGGCTAGCCTGGTCTACAAAACAAGTTCCAGGGCAGCCAGAATTGTTACACAGAGAAACCCTATCACAAAAACAAAACAAAAACAAAGAAAAAAAGGAGGAAGGAAGGAAGGAAGGAAGGAAGGAAGGAAGGAAGGAAGGAAGGAAGGAAGGAAGGGAATCAACTGTCGTATATCATACCGAGACGGATAAGTATGAAGACTCATGGGGAGTCTGGGCATCTGGACTAAGAGCATTGCAGTTATGTCAACAAATGGTACTGAAACAACTGCACAAGCAAAGTAACGAATTTAGATATAAATTTACCCTTCACAAACATTAACACAAAACATACAACAGATGTAAGTGGAAAACCAAACCTACGAAGTCCTGGAAAATAGCCCTGGAAAGAATTGGTTGGTGGTCTCAGGTTTGGCTAATGACAGGTTAGATCAAAAAGCATGATCCAGTTAGGGAGATGGCTTCACTGGCAAAGTGCTTGCTACACAAGCATGAGAACCCAACTCAGATCCCTAACACCACGTACAATAAACTGGGCACGGGGGTATATATGTCTGTAACCTCAGTATGGAAGTGAAAACAGAAGAATTTTGGCAGGGGGCGGACCTCTCTGGCTAGCAGCCTAGCCAGTCTGTGAGATCCAGGTTCAGTTACTGTAGCGGTGATAACTTAGGGAAACACCAACATCAACTCTGGTGCAAACATGCACACGCTCACACACACACAGAGTCATAAAATGACTGAGAAGGCAGACGTCATTAAAGTTTAAAACTTCTGTTTTGTAAACCTCAAATAGTAGCACATGCCTTTAATCTTAGTGCTTGGGAAGGCAGAGGCAGGTGGATCTCTGTAAGTTCAAGGCCAACCTGGTCTACAAGCAGAGCTACATAGTGAGACGCTGTCTTAAAAAAAAAAATTCAAACCCCCAAAAACAAAAAGTTCCTGCTTTGAGAAGGGGGGGGGGGGTAGGACCACATTCCTACACCAAGAGCAAAAAGTCAACCTATCTGCCAGCTCCCCTCTGATGCTCACAAGACACCCTTCCTGTGCCCAGGGCTCAAGTGCCTTCATTCCCTACATCTGTAATCTTCCTGTGCCTCAGTACAACTGTACAAATGTTTGGTTAGGGCCCACTGTGTACCATGAACCAATTTACATGTGCTCATATCCGCCTTTAAACAAACATGGCTGTAATTTAGCAATTTATTTTCTCCATCTGCCAGGTGGTGTTCAAATTTAAATGAAAATTTTCTTTTTCTTTTTTTTTAAATATTTATTTATTTATTATGTATACAATATTCTGTCTGTGTGCATGCCTGCACCAGACCTCCATTACAGATAGTTGTGAGCCACCATGTGGTTGCTGGGAATTGAACTCAGGACCTTTGGAAGAGCAGGCAGTGCTCTTAACCTCTGAGCCATCTCTCCAGCCCCTTAAATGAAAATTTTCATTGCACTCAACGATCTCTGCTTTTCTGGTCCTAATAGTCCTCCTTTTCTTCAAAGCCCCTGGGAAACCCGGGTCCTCCCCGCAGAGCTCCATATATCCTAAGCACTTGATCAAATACATTCTTATAGAGAGCCAAGGTATGCAAAAGGCAAACAGGACAGATTTCATTCATACAAGCCTACCACAACTTAGTACGGGATAATCAACATGTCATAATGTTTATTTACTAGAAATTCTTTTGTCCTTTAGTTTCTTCATTTTTAAGAACTCAGATTTCAGGAGACATAGAGGCGCACGCCTTTAAGGCCAGCACTTGGGAGGCAGAAGCAGGTGGATCTCTGTGAGTTCAACACCAGCCTGGTCTACAGAGAGAGTTCCAGGACAATCACAGATGCACAGTGAGACCCTTTCTTGGAGAGAAAAAAAAAGTTGCTCAAATTTTATCAGCATGTAAAATTATCAGAATTATTACAGACTGTAAGGGAAAATATCGTAACACATGTATATGTAACACATATATGTAAACACATGTATAACAATATATGTATTTTTTTATGTAATTGTCTATGAAAAGAAGAGGGAAACCCAGCTACCTGGTGTTCAGTTGGTGGACCTGGCAACACAACTAACACAGACGTGTCTGTCTGTATCTACAGAAGGCTACTTAACATTTTAACATTACAAAGCATCCAGTCCTTAAAAGTCAAAGCCACTAGCAAAGCTCTCTGCTGAAATTAGAAACGGGCTTTTCTATGTGGACATGCAACCAGGAAAGTCCTTTCCAGTAGGAAGCAAGTGAAGACCACAAACTACTTTCACACAGCTACTTGTTAATAATTCAATGGTGGTAAGCGCCTGTGTGCTCAGAATTAAATTCTTAGTCCCTAAAGACACAGATGTCTTCCCAAGCAGAAGATAAAACTGTCATTAGTGAATCCGGCTATTAATTATACTACAATTCAATGAAACCAGACATGTGATTCAAATAACAAACCAAGCCTCAGCTGAATGACCCCAATGTTACCTTAATGGTACGTGATTGCTGAGGAACAGCTCAGCTATGCTAATCAACTCGGCTGTGGTCTCATGCACAGGATCAACAATAAACACCTGTCAGAGGAAAAAGAGAAGAACCCATGAAATGGCAATCACGCATGGGCTAAGAGAAATGACACAAATTGTCATACATGAAGTCAATCCTTCCCAAAATATTACTGAACCACATACAAAGGGAGTTATGAATAAAAACAGCAGCTGCCACCCTCAACATTCAGAATGTGGTAGTGGGAAGAGAGATTTTTTTTCCATGGATTTCACTGGTGACATCCACCAGTGATCCAGACTGCTGATGCCTGCCTATTCTACCATATCAGATAAACCTGTTTTATCAGTTCTCACACCTTGGAAAACAGAGCTGCCTTTTTGTTATATTTGTTTCTAAGGCTCCCTGAATTAACAATTAATTTTGAACTCAACTTTTAAACCATAACAATAGCACTGATGTATGAAGTCCTCATGCGCTAACCAGCTTGTACACATTCTCTACACAATCAAGTTACTCGGACTGAGGCTGTGATTCATTTGGTAGAGTGTTCACCAAACATGCAAAAGGCTCTGCATTCAAACTCCAGCCGGAAACCAGGCCTGGTGCTGCATACCTGCAATCCTAGCACATGGGAGGTGGAGGAGGTAGGGGATCTTAAGTCCAAAGTCATCCTCAACTATATAATGAGGTTAAAGGTCAGCCTGAGGTACATAAAAATTATCTAAAATAAAACTTTTTAAAAGTAAAAAATTAAAGTTCGCTCATGGTAAGAAAGAGAAAGACCTGAATTGTGAAAGGAAAAGGGTAGTTTGAACGACTGAGAAAAAATACAGGATTGGCAAGATCAACTTAGTGAAGTGGTTCTCAACTTCACAGGTAGCGCCCCCTTTGTGTATGGGGTGGGGTTCGAACAACCCTACCACAAGGGTCACCTAAGACCATCAGGAAACAGAGATACTTACATTACAATAACAGCAGCAAAATTACAGTTTATGAAGTAACAATAAATTAATTTTACAGTTGGGGGTCACCACAACAAGAGGAACCATGTTAAAGGATCACAGCATTAGGAAGGTTGAGAACCACTGGCTTGGTGGGTCATGTGTTGCCAATTCTGAAAACAAGTTCGATTTCTGGTTCCCACATATTGGGAGAGAACAACTCCTAAAGGTTGTGCTGACTTAGATGCACACACTGTGGCATGTGCGGGCCTACACACATGCACACGCTGAGAATTAAATACATGAAATAAAAAGCTAAGATTAAAAGAGAGAGAGAAGTTCAGAGGGTTGTTTCCCATATAAATCTCAATGCTCTCCTGCTTCTGTTCTGTGAAACAGCTGTGAAGAGGAAGAGACAGAAATGAGGGGAGAGATCTGGTAAGAACCTTCCTTCTCTGTCTCTATAAAGCAGGAAATGAGGGATGGGTTGAGAAGGGCAGTGGAAAGCTAAGAAGTTAGCTGAATTACTAAATTTGAGGGATTAAGATATTAGAGCTCAGGAGGCCCTCCCTCCTCCAGAGGGCTAGTTACAGTTAAAGGCTGGTAGGGAAAGGAGAGACATTTTTTAAAATAGCCTCTAAGGAACCCTAGTTTTGTCAACTTGACACAAGCTACAGTCGCTGGGAAGAAGGACCCTTAACTGGGAAAGGCCTCCATCAGACTAGTCTGTGGGCAAGCCTCTGGCGGGTTTTCTTAATTAATGACTGATATAGGTGGGCCCAGCATGCTGTGGCTGGTGCCCCCTGGGAAAGCAGTGCTGGGTTGTGAAACAAAGCGGACTGGGCAAGCCATGGGGAGCACGCTGGTAGGCAGCTGCTCAGAGCCCCTGCTTCAGTTTCTGTTTCTCCAGGAGCCTGCCCTGTGTCCCTTCCAGGGTGGACTGTAAGCTGTAAGATGAAATAAACCCTTCCCCCTATGCTGGTTTTGGTTATAGTCTTCATTAAAGTAACAGAAAGCTAATTCGGACAGAAACTGGGCTACTGTTGTGACAGACCTGACCGTGTTGTTTAGGAAAAACTGTGGAAGTGTTTGGAACTTTGGGCTGGAAAAGTCATTAGTGCTCAAACTTAAATGGGCCATGACGGGAGTGTGGAAATTCTCCTCAGGCCAGCGAACAAAAAGTATATAGTCCAGAGGGGGTAAGGCTGAATTTCATGCTGGCAGCCAAACTTGTGATTGTTTAAGGTACTGGTTTTGAAGGGATACAGAGGTCATGAAGAGCGGCCCAGACTGGCACCATATGAGAGGTCAAGAGAAGCCACTGGTGAAGCTACAGCCTCAGCTGCAATGGTAACCCCTGTACTCAAGGGGTTCATAGAGAGAAGGCGAGGCTTGTCACCACGTGCCAAAGTCAGAGTCCCTGGAGAGAGCCCAGGTGAAGTTATTGGTAAAGGTGCAGCCCAGGTGCTTTGGAGAGAGCACCAGCACCCTGGAGACAGCCACCTCTTGTAGTAGTCACTGTGGAGAAAGAAGGTGCTTGTGCTACAGATGCACAGCTGGGGAAGAGGAGCTGCCCCAGCCTCTCGGAGCCCAGAGGATCATGAATAGCCCCGACACCAGGAACTATACGTTTTACACTGCTGAACTTTGGGTTTGCTTTGATGTGACTGTTACAGGAGCTTACTGTTGGAGAGACTTCGGACATTTAAAGAAATGGCGGATATTTTAAAGAGAACTTGAACTTTTAAAGTGTTTGCATTTTTTTAAAGACTGTGGTATATTTAATATTATAGTTTCAATATTGTGATATTAGTATCAACATAACATCTTGAGAAGAGACAAGAAAGAAAAGGCTACAGTTTAATAATGATCTGTTTGTGTGTTAAGGTAATGATAGGTCAATTGTGTTTACTATTTTGTCAACTTGACAAAAACTAGAGTAATTTGGGAAGAGGAACCCTCAATGAAAATAAATGCCTCCATCAGACTGACCTGTAGGCAAATCTATTAAGGGTATTTTCTTAATTTATGATTGATATGGAACTGTGGGTGGTGTCGCCCCTGCGCAGGTGGACCCAGGTTGTATAAGAAGGCAGGCAGAGCAAGTCATGGAGAGCAAGGAAGTAAGCAGCTTTCTTCTGTGACCACTGCTCCAGTTCCTGCCTTGAGTTCCATTCTCAGTGAACTATAAGCTGTGAAATAAACTCCTTCCCATTTGCTTTTGGTCATGGACAGTAATAGGAAGCAAACTAGGACTCTCTAATTAAACTCTCTAATTAAACTCACGAGAAAGAGCAGGTGAGGGGGCAGTAATGTATCACACCAAGAGTACAAACATCAGGACCAAATATCTCATGACCCTGAGACTCACTGAGAATCACAACTACTTCCACTGGACAGATATTGATGTGTTCATTTCCCAAGTGCAATGTCAAGTATCCCACTAGTTTTTTTTTTTTTTATGTTGCCCTCCTTTCTTTTACTTAGTAAGATTAAAAAAAAAAATCAAGTGAGCCAATGACTAAGTTGTGACTTGAAATAAAAAGAAGCCTACTGACATATACACAAAAGACATGACAGAAGAGCAGCAGTCATGTGTCTTTTGAGCTACACACACATCAAGCACTCTCTTAAAACTTATACAACATTTCTATAAACTTAAAATTGCTCTAGGGATATAAAGTCTTAAAATATAAACTTAAAATATAGTGTGGTCCATTGTAAACCTTCAGTATGGATGAGGTACATGTGTCACACAGCAACACAGGCTGTGACACTGCTGTAACATGAACATAATCCTTTCCACTTGAACACTGTGCACACATACAGGAAAAACTGAACATTCTAAAAATGATGGAAAAGAAGAGACACAGCAAGGAGAAACAGATATGAGGGGGCGCAAGTTTTACTTACCAAGTTATGCAAGTTTTTCCTGATCTGCCGTATAACGCCAGGAAAGGTAGGTCGAAGTAACTCTTGTAAACTAGAAGGCCATGAATTATATCGGCTATCAATCTCTAGGTTGTTGACCCACTGAATAAAACAAAAAACACAACATGGTGCATACACATTAGTCACTGATGGGGGACAAAAAGATAGTTAATGAGACTTTAAGAATCACAGAGATAGGCATGGTGGCACATGCCTATAATCCCAGCACTCAGGAGGTAGAGACAGGAGAATCAGGTATTAAAATTGTCCACAGCTACATAGAGTTTGGTGCCAGCCTGGGATATACAAGACCTTGTCTCCAGCAAACACATAGACATAAGAGATAGACTATTCTCAAATATACAAAGATTGAATAGAAAAACGAATAACTACAACAAAGCAATAAAACAGGTGAAATTATTTACAATCAACACAACCAACTAAAGACCAACAGCAACAAATATTATTTAAAAAAAAAAATCAAGCAACCCACAGGAAATGAGATAAGAATAAAATAAAACTAAGCTAGATGTGGTGGCACACAACTTTAATCCCAGGGACAGGAAGATCTCCATGAGTTTGAGGCCAGCCTGGTCTACAAAGTGAGTTCCAGAATAGCCAGGGTTATTAAACAGAGAAACCCTGTCTCGAAAAAACAAAACAAAAAATATATATAAATTAAAAAAAAAACTACATAGGGATCATAAGTGATCAGTAAACACAATTTATTCACAATCTGTGAAACATAAATGAATTCACAAGAAAACTTCGCATTCATTAAGTTGGAAAACATTAACAGTTTGTCAGGACCTTAAGACTAGGCAAAAGTACAAAGCACATAGGAACCCTCAGGTAATGGTGATGTCTGCAACACTCATTTAAAGAAACAGATAAAAACACACTGAAGGCCTGACTAGAACCACTAAGTGTATGCAGGCATCCATTCCAAATGAATTCTCACAGGTATGTGGGAGAAAAGGACACAGAGACCCAACATGGCAGCATCTACAACAGGAGGGAGGCAGAAGAACAACACATGAACAGTAAGCACCTGCTGCCCGGATAGCGAAGCACAGCTGAAATATACAGATATTTTCCTGCTTGTGTGAGTCTAATGCTCTGGACGAGCACACAAGCAACTGCTCATACTAGCGACCCAGGAGGAAAGAGGAAAGTTTTTTCTTTCTTTCTTCTCTTTTGAGACAGGGCTTTACTGTCTAGCTCTGGCTATCCTGGAATTTGCTTTGTAGACCAGGCTGGCCTTGAACTCACAGAGATCTGTCTGCCTCCGGCTAGTATTGTGTCAACTTGACACAAGCTAGCTATCTGAGAAGAGGGAACCTCAATTGAGAAAATGTCCCCATAAGATCTGGCTGAAAAGCATTTTCTTAAGCAGTAATTGATGGGGGAGGGCTCTTGCCCACTGTAAGGTGGTGCCATCCCTAGGTTGCCGGTCCTGGGTTCTGTAAGAAACTGGGATGAGCAAACCATGAGGAGTAAGCCAATAAGCAACAACCCTCCATGGTGTTTGCATCAGAGAAACTTTCAGGTTCTTGCCCTGTTTGAGTTCCTGTCCTTACTTCCTTTGATGGTGAACAGTGATGTGGAAGTGTAAGCCAAATAAATACTTTCCTCCTCACCTTGATTTTTGGTCACACTATTTCACTGCAACAATAGAAACCCTAACTAAAGCACCTAAGTATATGAAATTTTCATTTATAAAAGTATGGCTTTTTTAAAAAGTAAGTAATATGTTTTAAAAAAAGGAGCAACAGGAACTCTCATACAATGTTGTTGTCTAGAAATCTCACTCTACTCTAGTGGACCTACTAAAGCTGAAGACCTTCCAATACCACCAAGTACTCCAGTTCCGATGAACTGTTCCATCCTCTCTAAAAGTCTTAAGAAAAACGTGTTAAGAAAAAGGATTTTCTAACAGTGTGAATTTGTTTGTTTGTTTTTTGAGATAAGGCCTTACTATGTAGCCCTGGCTGTCCTGGAACTCACTATATAGACCAGGCTGGCCTCAAACTCACAGAGATCCTCCTGTCACTGCCTCCTGAGTACTAGGATTACTAGGATTAAAGGCGTGTGCCATCATATCCAGCAATACGAGTAATTTAAAACCACTATTAATATGTTCTTAATTACATGATTTAAAAGGACTTTATTATTTGCTGTATGAGTTCTTTGGGCCCTTGTCATCTTTAAAAAGAATGTGGAGAATGGAAGCCTAAAAGATGGTCACAAAATAAAATCGAGGCTATGGAATGAAAAGGAAATAGATAGGCTGGGCGGTGGTGGCACGTGTCTTCAGTCCCAGCACTCGGGAGATAGAGGCAGGCGGATCTCTGTGAGTTCGAGGCCAGCCTGGTCTAGAAGAGCTAGTTCCAGGACAGGAACCAAAAAGCCATGGAGAAACCCTGTCTCGAAAATAAAAAAAAAAAAAAAAAAAAAAAGGAAATAGATATGAGACCAAGAGACACACCAGATTGTGAAAATATTGAAAACCTTTAAAAGGAAATAAAGGTATACAATTAGAGACAGAGGAATGCATGCCAACTTCAGGAAAGAATTGTCTGTGAGGAGAAAAGAGGTGTAACTAGGAAAGAACACAAAAACAGCCTCAACTGAAACATTTTTCACTCCAAGAAAAGAGGAATTATTATACAAATTGATTATTTAGAAAGAATGGTAATGGGCCATATAATTATCAATCTATTATGTTATTTTCTTTATTCTTTATAAACAAAATCATGCTGTCAGAAATCAAACTGTATGTATCAAAATATGCAATGGTTACACCACCAAGTGAGAATGTAAGTAATGAGAATCTACAAACAGGCAGGTCCAAGTTTTAGCATCCGTAAGTACACTGGGCTGCATTAGTGGCTATCTTGGGATACATGTGGCCAACAGGCTGCAGGATACGCATGCCTGGTTCAGAGTAAGTATCTATCTTCCAATAAAATGCATCTGAAATAAACGCAGGACAGAAACCAAGGGGGAAAAGATAATGCACCTCTATTCCCAAAATTCTTTTTACAGATGACAGAGACACGGATCACACTGCCAACAGTAAGGTCCCAGAAAATAAGGCTACTTATTAGAAATATGTTCTAATAATAGTTTTAAATTACGCATGCTGTCACAAACCCACAGGACCTAGACCCAACTGGGAAAATACAAACCCTCTTCCCCAAGATGTTCATCTGAATACAACACAATGGAGAGAATGCTTGTTTTGTTTTGTTTTTTTTTTTTAATTTTTTCATTATTTGATTTGTGGGATACCCACAGAGCTTAGAAATATCTGATTCCTCTACAGATGAAGTTACAGGTGATTGTAAAACACCAGATGTGGATGTAGGGAACTGAACTTGGGTCCTCTGCTAGAGCAGTATATGCTATGCTCTTAATAGCTGAGCCATCTCTCCAGTCCTGAAAACAATGCTTCTTACTCATGAGAGTCAGAAAATTTAAAGCATGTAAAAACCTATCTTATGCCCAGTGTGGTAGCACATGCTTTTAATCCCAGACAGACAGACAGAGCCTACCTTAACACAGTCTCACACAAGCACCTATAAATCTTTGATAAGGCACAAATTAGGCAGTGGTAAGGGACCTGACCAGAGAGAGGCCTCAGGACCCTTCAAATAAATACTCACTGAAATAGCAGGACTCCTGATGTCTACTGCATAGTCAGCCTCAGAAGGCTGGATATTGAGCTTCAAAATATTATGTAGAGAGAGGCCTTCTATTCCTAGTCTGTGCAGACCCTCCATTACCCGGGCTTCATTCCTCAGCGTATCAAACAAACTGCAGAAAAAAAAAAAAAAACAAGGTGTCTAGTTAAGGGTTGGCTATTATGCCAGAGCAGAATACTCGCCTAGCATATAAGACCCTGGATTCAATTCACAATATACAACACACGCACACAGCCTGATGGTATTTGGTAGGGAAAAAAAACTTTATGAAAGCCTTGAAAATTTTCTATCAGTTCAAAATTCAGTGCTAAAAGAAACTGAAGATTCAAAAATGGAGCTTTTTGTTTTGTTTCATCTGGTCAGAGGACAGAGAACAGTGGCAGGATATGCTTTCGTCATCCTGTTTGTTTACATTCTTGGTGGATATGTACTTATCACAAGGTCTGTAATACAACAAACAGGTATAAAGATTAATTCAATTAATTCACAAAATAATATTGTGAAACTACTCCTAAAGCATTAACAACTGCTTTTATTTTCACTATTATAAAGCCATAATGATGGGAAGAGATGGCTTAGGAGTTAAGAGCACTCGCTTCTCTTCCAGAGGACCCAGGTTCAATTCCCAGTATCCACATAGCAGCTCAAGGCTGCCTGTAACTTCAGTTCCAGTGGTTCCAACACCCTCATGAAGACATACACACAGGCAAAATACTAGTGCACACAAAATAAAAATATAAAAAAAAAATTTTAAAGCCACAGTGACAACTGTACTGCTAATAATTCTATAGATAAAATCTGAATTCTACTTGTTCACTGCCCCCAAAACGTATGATAACAATTTAGACTCTATTAGCCTTCAATTACATTTTAAGAAGAGTAGCACAAAACAGTATGCAAAGTGACTTGTTATGGTACACATCTATAATTCCAGCAGTTGGCAGGTAGAAGCAGAAGGTTCACTTAAGGCCATCCTCACAAATCTGGGAGGCCAGCCTGAGCTAATAAAACCCTGTCTCAAAAACAAAACAAAAATTTTTAAACAGTGAATATTCAAAATAATTTTAAAAGTAATGCCTTGCGAGACAGGAGAGACAGCACTATGCTTACACCTACTTCACAATTCTCAGAAGCAAGAGAACTGCGCTCTTTTCTATGCTTCTGCAATGAACAGGAAAACTACAACCTCAAATATGTATCTTTTAAACACTCAAGACTTGCCCACACAGCGTTCTGCCTACCCCAGTCACAGCATGGGCCCACCTCCAGTAAGTCTCATAAGCTTGAGCCTTACCTCATGCCATACCAAGAAGAAACACAAAACTGAATGTGTCAGTTATAAACCTTACAGAAAGAGGGGGAGAAGTGTCTATTAGCCATACCTGAATATATCCTGGGTATCTAAATCAATATGAAGTCCATTGATGAAGAGAGCTGAATCTCCAGGCTGCAGTCCTATTGTTCCCTTGAAATACTGAAAATACACACAAAGAGCAGTGAGAGTACGTTCAGCGAAGCTTGTTGTTCCCGAGCTACATTACCCACACAGATCCTGACATTCTGGGGCCAGGTCAGAATTCCCTTCCATACTCTTCTTTGGACTCTTCTGTGCATCCCCTATAGAGACTGAAGATGCTGCCTTACTGGGCCTCCACCTTTTTCCCTTCCTCCTTCCTTCATTCTGATGATGACACAACCATTTCTATAATGTTGGGCATGTAAGAATGCCAAGTGCTAAGAGTCACTTATCAAAAATGAAAACAGAATAGCCAAGAAGGTGGCTCAGAGGATAAAGAAAGTGCTTGCCATGCAAGAGAGAGGACTAGAGAACAGACGCCCAGAACCCACCCACAAAAATGCCAAGCAGGCAGGCATGGTGATCTACCTGCAACCACAGCACTTTGGAAGAGGTGGGATTCCCAAGAACGGGCTAACTAGCTAGACTAGCTGAATGTGTGAGTCCCTGCCTCAGTAAATAAAGTGAAGAGCAATTCAGGAAGGCACCCAACAACACCCTCAGGCTTCCATAAATACATACACTCAAATGCATGTGTACACACAAAAATGTCTTCCACACACATGCAAACATATACGAACATACGCACATCACACACAATAGACTGTACGTAGGACTAATTGAACAAATATTATATCTACATAATTTTTAAAATAAAATGTTTCTTCCTGGCCCACAATACAGGAAGATATTTAATTTTTGGGTTCATTTTCTAATACTTCTCTGAACTGACTACAAAGAACTAAAGCTTATTGTACTCCTTATGTAGGACATCAAAGGAATATACACATTTGTTCACCGCTTTAGTAACAAAGAAAGCTCTTTATAACTAAACTGAGTTATCTCCTTAATACTGAAGGCAGAAAAAAGTAAGCTATCTAAAATTGGGGTCACAAGAGGATTCTCCCTTCTAGGTTCTGGAATTTTCCTTTCCTCTGTTTGCAAGCGCCAGATTAAAGTGCAAAGCTTTGCTTTTTTTTAATGCTTCTGTTGCCTTCCCTGATTGTGATGCCAATCAAGTCTGGGCTGGCAACCAACACAAGGCCCCCTTGATGAAACAAAGGACTGAAAGAAGGGTTTCTAAACACCATTCCCATAGTGACCAAGTGGCCAAGAGACCATAGTGACGAAGAAGACACCGTAGTGAGTGTCTTGGCAGCTTCAGAAGCTGCATGTGGGGCTGATGGGAATGAAGGACAAGAACCCTGCTACCCTGTAGAGTGCATCACAGGCAGGAATGAAACAGGTTTAAAGAAAGACTACTTAAAACAGGACCAGACTCACCCCCACCCTGGTTAGGAGACTGCTCTCCTTAAAGAAAATGCCACCAACTTTGACATAAATAAATAAATAAATAAATAAATAAATAAATAAATAAATAAATAAAATATACTAATTACTGTATTTATAAGTAAATTACTAAACGTAATACTGTTAAATGCCACTAATTTAATTCAAGTTTCTTTATTGTTTTTAAAGATACAACACAGGATAGAACGTTTTCAATCGGTTAATAATACCTTCTGGTTCTCTTCCACTTCCGTTCTAAGTTGTGAGCTCACAGCTGTTTTTGTTATTGCTCTAAGAAACAAAAATATAATCAGTGTTTAGCTCAGCATTCCATATAAAGGCTTTTAATTTCCCTGTTCTTAAATATGAAACATGTGGTTCAATAAGCTAAAAGGTAAGAACTAAATAAACATGACAGCTCTACAGCTTAGCAAGTGAATTTCACAGACGTACAAATTCCCACTGCTGTAAGACAGAACAACAAAGGAAAGCTGCATAGTAGCAGTACGTGACAGCAAGTCCAGTTGCTTCCAAGGTCTCCCTTGACTGTGTGGCCCTACTCCTTATGTGACATAAACTGTGCACAGATAGACAGCATTAAATTCACTGCACTGAAGCAGACCGTCGGTCCTATTAAATCCTTCTGGTGGAGGTTGGACACTGCACATGAATCTTTCAGAAGCATGATAGATTAAGAAATCTTTTATTTAATATTTATTTATTTATTTATTTATTTATTTATTTATTTATTATGTATACAGTATTCTGCGTGCGTGTATGCCTGCAGGCCAGAAGAGAGCACTAGACCTCATTACAGATGGTTGTGAACCATCATATGATTGCTGGGAATTGAACTCAGGACCTTTGGAAGAGCAGGCAATGCTCTTAACCGCTCAGCCATCTCTCCAGCCCCCTAGATTAAGAAATCTTATACAGCCAGGCAGTGGTGGCGCACGCCTTTAATCCCAGCACTCGGGAGGCGGATCTCTGTGAGTTCGAGGCCAGCCTGGTCTAGAAGAGCTAGTTCCAGGACAGGAACCAAAAAGCTACGGAGAAACCCTGTCTCGAAAAAATCAAAAAAAAAAAAAAAAAATCTTATACAGGCACACTACACAGTGAAAAGGGAACTTACTTATAAAACTCTCAGCCCAGAACTAAGCAAGTGTTTTTAGTAATTGGAGACAAAGATTAGCAATGGCATTTGTTAAAAGTTCCTAAGAATTTGTCTCTTAAATAATTTTGCCTTGCATTTATACAGAATAAACAGTATTTAAGAAAATTCAGAATATTGTTACTATGAAGGGTCAGTCTCTCTGAGCCTCAGTTTCCACAGAAGGAACCTGATCATCCACATCCCCCTCTTCCTCTTCTTTTTGGCAGTACTGAGAATAAAACCTGGAGCCTTATACATGTGAGACAAGAGTTGTAGCACGGAACCCCAGGCAAAGCCCTTCTTCATCAGGATTCAAAACTGGCAGTCTGGGCCAGACTCTGGATTAGCTGATCTGGCATAAGTGGGGCAGTGTCAACAACATCCAGATCTCTCTCTTCAAGCACACAACCAACGGTCTTGTTACCTCCTTAGAAAGAGGACACTAGTCACAACAGGAGTTATAAATAGGTAAAAAACTAAAATGTTTCAAAGCATTTGTACCTTTTAGTTACATCATATTCTATGTAAACATCAAAGTCATTGGGAATAATGTTAAGGAGAGGGATGTTCCAAAACCTTAGTAGATGTTACCTGGCTTTTGTAGGAAAATTCTGACTAATATCCTTCATCACCACCAAAGCTAACTCCACAGGAGCAGCCAGGATGCGGGCAGCAGTCTGGAAACTGAGATCTGCAACAATGCCAGGCAGATATCAGGTTAGAACATATGACTCTAAAGTAACGACAGTACAACAAAACCCCAATACTACCCACAATTCCCTGACAGTGAAGAATGCCTTAGAATGCAACCATTCCAGAGAGTGCCCATGGTTTAGTTCAGATCTCACTCACTTCATGGTCCCCTGGAGTTTTTACTAAGCTATTCATAATCTACATCCATAAAATCCATGGGCGTATGCTAACGCATTTAGCAGAAGCAAACTTTAGCCCAAATCCTGGTACCTTCTAGATTTATAATATGTCACAAAATACAGGATTAAGATATTTAGCAAATTACCTTGGGAAAAATATCTTAAGAATAGTTTGGAACATTCTTTAGAACAAAAAAGTGCACATATATTCCACTCTTAAGTGCCTAGAGATACAGTTTAAGAAATGCGTACAAATAAATATAGGAGACCAACTAGATGGCTCAGTGAGTAAAGGTGCTTGCTGCCTACAATGCAAGCAGGATTAGTTGAATTCAATTTCTCAGAACCCAAATAAAGGTGGGGAAACCAAATTCCACAGAGTTGTCCTCTAACCACCACATGGGCACTACGGCACACTAGTCTACATATACACAATGTTAATAAATGAATTGTAAAATGCATTGGAAGGCTAAGGTTATAGCTCAGTGGTGCAGTGCATGTCCAATATGTAAAGCCCGAGATCAAACCATCAGCATTACTTAAAAAAGAAAAAAGTACAAACCTAAAATTAAAAACTGACACTTAGGTTTTTAAAATGTATGCATAAAGAAAATGGCTGGGCGGTGGTAGCACATGCCTTTAATCCCAGCACTCAGGATGCAGAAAAGGGCAGATCTATGTGAGTTCTAGGCCAGACTGGTCTACAAGAGCTAGTTCCAAGGCAGCCAGAGCTGTTACACAGAAAAACCCTGTCTCAAACCCCCCCCCCAAAAAGAAACAAATAATGCAGTTATATATTTGTTGTGTGTGTGTATATGTGTATATATAAAAAAATTACAATTTTGGGGCTGAAGAGATGACTCAGAGGTTAAAAGCACAGGCTGCTCTTCCAGAGGACCCAGGTTCACTTCCCAGCAACCACATGGCAACTCACAACTGTTTATATCTCTGGGTCCAGGGGATCTGATACCCTCACTCAAACATATATATATAGGCAAAACACCAATGCACATAAAATAAAAATAAATTAATTATTTAAAAAAATACAATCTGTGGTACTCTCAGAATCTTGTAAATTTCATTCAAACTCCCCAAGTCTCCCCTCCCAGACAAGGTTTCATTCTATAGCACAAGTCGGCCTGGAACTCATGACAATCATCTTGCCTAAGACATAGGAACTGGGATTACAGGTACAGTACAAATTCTGGTTAGCGTGGTGCCAGGCATCAACCCAGGGCTCTGTGCATGCTAGACAAACACTTGATCATCGGAGCTATATCCCTGGAGCAAGTTCTGCAATTTTTAGTAACACAAAATATACTGACAGTGAGCTCTGAGTTTCCATTACCTTGCAGCTGCCAAACTTTCAAGGGCGCCATCTCATTGGTGCTCTCCACAAGATACTTTCGGAATTCTTTCAGTTGTTCTTCCAAAGAGGGGTGCAGTTCTCTGGCAGAAGCACAATCAGTTATTTTCATTGTTTTCTCTCAGAGTACACTGAGCTAAGGACTCCAATTTTAATCTTCATGATTTTCCCCTCCCAAACCTAAGAAAATTTCTTCAATTTGGACAAAAGTTTTTAAGGCACAACAGCAGCCCTCTAAGGGTAAGTTAACACTGTGTATTCTACATGAACCTTTTTGTGCTGTGAATACATAAAATCACAGCATCACCCAAAGATGGACAAAGAAGGAGCAGTGAGATGGCTCAGCCAGCAAAGGATGCCATCAAGCCTGGCAATGTGAGTCTGATCCCCAGGACTCAGAGGGTGCAAACAGAGAACCAGGTCGACAGCACACATGGGACCCATGCACTGTCCCCATAATACACAAAATAAATCAATGCAATTAAAATGTCTAAAAGTGCATGGAAAGATTCTGGAAATCTTGATCAAATAAAAGTGGTACCTGACTACGACCATAATCCAAAGTGACAACAGACAAGTGTACACAGGCAACGAACCAACCCAGCACAGCAAATAACTGGAAATGAAGCCACTACTGCCTAAACTGGAACCTGGTTAGACTCTTTCATTCAACCAAATGTCACAGCTGAAGCATATGTTACATATTGTCATCTATTTTCATCTTGCTTTTAAAGGCAGCCCACCACAGATGTTCTAGCTGAAATCCCCACACAACAGAATTCAAGGTTCTGAAAAATTTATCAAGTCACTACAATTAAGAATAATTTTCTGCTATAAATTATTTTCACCAAACTGTGAAACTATGAAACAAATTTCAATATTAAAGTCCTCTTCTGCAAGGCATGACTGCACATAGCTTTGATCTGCCCCAGCAGGCAGAGGCAGGCGGATCTCTGTGATTGAGAGTAGCACGGTCTACACAGAGAACTCCAGGCCAGCCAGGGCTACAAAGTGAGACCCTCCTCAAAAAGGTCAGTAACAGCAAACATTTCCTGTTCGCTGACAGAATCTATTTCTGCCGTGTGTTTTTAAAGTCAAGGTTTCTCTTAGCATTAGAGAATAACCCTGGTCACTCTAATTCAAATAAACAACTTTACTATAAATGAAATGGGTTTTCTCCACTGTAAACCACATATATAAAGAGCCACAATTCAGATAGTAATGGAAAAGACACCAGGAATGCAAGGAGGCATCTGCCAACAATAATTAACATACCTTAATTTTCCAAAAAGAAACCCCTGAACTTCATCAATAGGATCGTTCTCACCAATGACTGTGGTATTCACCTCAGTTCCTATAAGGACACAATAAAGACATGTCTAGTGGCTTGGAATAGAAATAAAATGTTAGCTTCACAAAGCCTGAATGTTAAAAAGAAATGTCAAATGTTTCAATTAACAATTCGCTGTAGGCTTTTAAGCCAACAGTGTTTTAATATTTCTTCTGTTCCTGTACAAAATAAGGATGTGTTTTCTCGCTTTAGAAAATTTTACAATAAAAATTTTAAAATAGATTTAAATATTACAAAAGATTTTTCACAGTTAAATTATGAAGAATTTAAAGTTATAAAATCCTAAATATAGTCATTTTCCATTTGTTCTACTATTCAAATCAATCATTTTTAATGTTTAAAATGAGCTTAGCAAATATAATTGGCACACACCATAATTCGGAAGGCTGAAGCTGGAGGACCAAGTTCAAGACTTGCCTGAATAATTAATTTATTGTGCTTGGATAACTTAGTGAAAACCTGCCTCAATAAGAAACGAACAAAACATTAAAAAGAACTGTGGCTGGAGCTCAGTGGTAGAGTCCCTGTGTAATATACACAAGACTCTAGTTCATACCACATGCTGCAAAGGATATATAATAAAGGTGAATTTCAAAGAAAAAAATCAGCAGGTAAAACATGATTGAAAAACTTAATTCAGGGTTAGGTGTGATGGTGCACACCTTTAGTCACAGCGCTTGGGAAGCATAGGCAGGATCTCTGTGAGGTCGAGGCCAGCCTGGTTTACAAAGCAAGTTCCAGGATGGGCTCCAAAGCTACAGAGAAACCTTGTCTGGGGGGGTGGGGTAAATAAGAAAAGAAAAAATTAATTCAAAACTGCATAATATTATTATACAGGAAGAACTCAGAATAAACTGTTCCAAGAAAAAAAGTATAATAAAAACATAAAATTATCCATTAAGCCCACAATATTCAAATTTCCATACTGGAATCACACATTAACGTCTATTTGTGATACATATAACATCAACAGCATTGATACCGTTTACTAAATCATTTTATACAAAAGAAAAACTCCACTAAACTTTTGGGCTTTTTATTTTTTGTTTATCCTTGTTTTTATTGTTTGGGGTCAGGGACTTGCTACACAGGCAAGGCAGGGCTTGAACTATAATCCCCCTGCTTCGGCACTAAGATTGTAAGCAGGCACAATTCCAGCCCAAATTCATGAATTATATTTCTTACTTCTCCCGAATACTTAAAAAACAAGCTATCATTGCCTATATATTACAGAGCACAAAAATTAGGACCTAGAAAATCTGCTGAAGGTCATCTACTCAGATGTAACAGAAGATGCAAACACGGGCTCGTCACACTCCTAAACCTATTCTTTTTCGATAGGGAGGCAATTCCCCATTAATTCATATTTAAAGACAAGAGAACACATTGGTCTTATTTTACAAATTCACCTTTCACCTGAGTATCATCCTTGGCCTTGTACTCCGTGCTCTTAATTGCCAATTCCACACCATAGCCGGAAAGGTAAACAGGCTCCTTCTTGGGATTCTGCAAACAGAGCAAGAATTCCACCATTACCACCTGGCTCATTATGAGGCACAGCAGCCCCCTTCCTTGCTAGCATGCCTATTGGTGGCATGACCTGCTTAGGTCATGTTTAAGTAGCCACACTGGTGAGACTTCATGGAAGAGCCCACCAATTGGTTATCTAATACCAAAGGGCCAGCCCTGAAATATACATGTACAAATGACATTACGTGAACTGAGCAGGTTGTAGATGTGCATATGAGTGCTTATATACATCTGTAGATTTGAATGAAACCAAGGTGGGGTACTTATGAGGGGACTGGGGGGAAAAAGAGAGGGAATGATGTAACTGTATTATAATAAAAAAAAACTAAAAAAAAATTAGAAATCAATATATAAAGTTATTAACTATGTATTCATAGAGTTCAGTGAAAATCAACAGTAACAGAAGTACTTGCCTATCATGAAAACATTCATCCTATTTATGAATAAAATCAATCTAGAATTTGTTTTCCTCTTTAGAAAATCCTAGACTCCTTTATATATTGAATCGTTACAACTATGGGAATAAGAGGTAGAAACAAAACTAAGAATATATGAAAAGCCTTACAGAAACCCACTACTCTAAAGTTAGTTAAAAATTATGTATTGTGGGGCTGCAGAGGGCCTGGTTCAGTTCTCAGCACCCACATGTAACAGACTTAACTCCAGTTCCAGGGGACTTAACATTCTCTTCCACATTCTGCAAGTACCAGGCACATGTATAGTATACATACTGCACACATGTGTGTATGTGTATATATATATATGTATGTATGTATGTATAGATGTATTATTCACACATTCACATAAAATAAAAATACACAATAAGTATTAAGAACATTTATGTATCTCTTAAATGGAGGTACCCTGCATGGGTGGACAATGATGCTCCAGGAAGATACTGGTTATTAAATAAAAATCCCTGTGCCAGGTATGGGATACCTCTCTATGTGTTATTCCTCAGGGTGGCCCCAGAGGCCCCCTAAACAATACAAGCTACTGCCACTGCTTTTGGTTGCCTACTGTAACTAGGTGTAAAACCCTATTGTTAAAGACACCAGACAGAGTTGCAGGACATAGAAACAATTAATTCTGGAACTGACCAGTAAGCTTCCTTGCTGCTGGCTAGATCTCACAGTGCTGGAAGGTGCTATGGAGGCCACTAGGGAAGAAAAGACATCAATGGTCTTAGCTAGCGCTGGAGCCTACATGCTACAATACTGACTGCCAGGCAAGACACACCCACTGGTACAGTAACAGCAAGACTGTTCTGGGGGCAATCTATTGCTTTCTCATTGACTCAAAATGCTTACACTACAGGAGAGAATGACTCCCTGCAAACCTGGTCAAAATTCAATGGCTGGGTATGTCATAGCCCTAAGGAGGAACCTATTATTGTTGTTTTGCTTAATGGTCATATCAAACTGACTTCTACATATTTACATTTAAACATTTATGTTTCTACCCAAAGATTATGCTGCTCTCAATTGTGGTCAAAAAGCTTCATTTTCCAATAGACATTGGGTAATAACAGAGAATCATCACTACTTAAGAGTGCTGAGAATAAGTGACCGTGAGTGCCTGGCTTTAGGACATCTTCATCAACTCCCCTCCCCAAGGCTCAGGAAGGGGAGGAGCGCTAGGGAATGCTGTCTGGCCGTGACACAGCTGCTGCACTCTTGACCACATGGCAGCTGTGGCTAACTACAGAAGATCTGCCCAAGATCAAGACAGTCACGACTCCAGCATGGGTGGGAGAAGGGCTCAAGTCTTAGCCTCCTGCTAAGGAACTGCTGTTGTTGATGGCTGCTGGCAGTGTTACTTTCCTTTGGAAGTATAGCCACTGGTAGGTTTCCCACGCTCCAGTGCATGGCCCCAGAACCACATATGAAGAGCACTTGGGAGCCATGCAGCCTAGTTTCGGCCTAGTGTATGAGTGCTTGTCCAATGGGTCTCCAGATGACTTTGGGACAGCTCAAATACTGATAGGACCACGTAGCCTGCATGTTCTCTTCTCTCTTACAATATTGATGATTCTCTTGGCAGTACTGTCATTTTGTCATGCAAGGGACAGATGTGATCACTCCTGGAAACCCCACTTTTTCTCGAATATTTTCCCCTAAAATTGGAGCTGATGCCTCTCAGGTTTCTTGTCTGGGGATAGCAACTGTCACTCCAGCCCCCAGGAGCTGTTGTGACTCAGTGCTGACAGGATTGGAGGCAGATCACCCCTATTTCTGTATATGTATTTTGAACGAGATTGTTGTTCTTGAAAATATTTGCCTATGTCAATTGCCTATTAGTTTTGTAAAGACAGGATGTACCTGGCTTGATATTTGGCTAAACTAAGAAAATGGTAAGTGTTGTTTTTGGTGTAAAAATATTTTAATGTAAAAGTTAGGGGAAAAAACATATTTGACATATTTGTTTTTGCCAGAGGTTAACACTGGAGGATAGGGAAAACTTGTTTGCTTGTATGGAAAAAACATGCTTGTTTTCGATGTATAAATATTCAGAGCCAGTCACTTGTGTTAAACTCATCTGATGGTCAGACTCCTTCAGGCCAACAGCCCTTCCCCATCTCAGGTCCTGAACCCAGGCTGTGGCGAACACTAACTGGACTTAGTGGGTTATTTAAACAAAAGCAAAACAAAAAGGAGGAGGAAGACATGAGGATAGGAGGGAGGTGTTTGGTGGGAGTTGGAGAAGTAGATGGAGGTTATGATCAAAATATATTGTTTACATAAATGAAGTTCTCAGAGAGTTAAAAAAATCCATTCCAAAAGCTATACAACAAAGAGAACCATGTTGAGACATTGTGTGTGTGTTTCTTTACTGTATCTGAATGTTCCTGGTGGGGGCTGGAGAGATGGCTCAGCAGTTAAAAAGCACTGGCTGTTGTGGAATAATCCTTTTGTACATTGTGAAGGTGTGTCTTTGCCAAGGCACCTTCTAATTTGTTTAATAAAGAGCTGAATACCAATAGTTAGGCAGGAAGAGATTAGGCAGGACTTCTGGGCAGAGAGGGGAGATGAATCTAGGTGCAAGGAAGATGCCAGAAAACACAGAGAAGAAATAGGAGGTACAAGATGGAAGAGAGGTAAGAAGCACGAGGCACAACATAGGTTAATTTAATGGGTTAATTGAAATTATAAGAGCTAGTGGGACAAGCCTAAGTTATAGGCCAGGCTTTCATAATTAATAATAAATCTCTGTGTCATGATCTGGGGGCTGATGGTCTTCCAGGGGACCTGTGTTCAATTCTCAGCACCCACATAGCATCTACAATTATGTGTAATTCCAGGGGCTCTGATACCATGTTCTGGCCTCCACAGGCAGCAGATATGAAAGTGGTGCACAGACATACAGCTAGGCAAAACACTCATACACATAAAACAAAAGGTAAATAAAATAAATGCTTTAGGTGAGGTTGAGCTTACCAAATGCCACATCCTCACTGTGGGAAAATAACAATATCAGGATCACATAAAGATACACAGGAATAAAGCAAAGGTCTTTTTTATTTTTTACTTTTTTTTTGTAAAAAAGGGTGTGCCAGAATCCAAACCATGGCTAAAGACCATGAAGGGCCAAGATGGCCTTGTCTGTGATCCCTAACACGGCTGTCTCTGCTCCTCTTCTTCACAACATAAAGTAAAAAGGGGAAGGAGGACGCTTGGGGAATGTGGGGTCTTGGCAAGCTAACTATCTTCGATAGAGAAAAAACATTTCTTCCACTCATTACCAGGCTGACTGACCCTGGCCCTTTAGCTATTTTAATCCTTAATACCCACAACAGGGCCAGGAAACAGGAATGGGGAGTAGTCAAAACTGGACTTTGACCGGATGCGGTAGCACACACCTTTAATTCTAACAGAGGAATCAGGAATTGTTCTACATCAGCCTAGACTATATTACACTGATCTCAAAAACATCAAAGGACAAAAAACACTGGGTTGATAAATACATCTGACTCTACTCGGTCAAATTTTCATTTACTGAACTATGATACACGAGCTTTAAAGACTTTTATATTTAAAATGTTTAATGAGGGCTGGAGAGATGGCTCAGTGGTTAAGAGCATTGCCTGCCCTTCCCAAGCAACCACATGGTGGCTCACAACCATCTGTAATGAGGTCTGGTGCCCTCTTCTGGCCTGCAGAGATACACACAGACGGAATATTGTATACATAATAAATAAATAAATAAATATTTAAAAGAAATTCAGAAGTCAAGTTCTAAACTATTAAAAAAATAATAATAAAAATAAAATGTTTAATGATAGGCTCAGGATGGCCTTAATTCACAGCAATACTGCTTTAGCCTTCCAGGTGCTTAGAATACAGACATGAGCCTTCATACCTAGTTCTATGCAGTCCATTTTAAAATAAAATGCAAACCAGTACACCACTTTGTAACTGTTTGACATTTTTTTTCAGAAAGACAAGCAACACACTGTCTAAATGCAAATACAAGCTCTAATGAGGGAAATGACTTAGCAGGTAAAACCCTCGCCACCCAAGCATGAGACCAAAGTTCAGATCCCTAGCACCCAGACTGGTGTGACAGCCTGTCTGCAATTCTAATCTACAGAAAGCAAAACCAAGGAAACCCCAGGAGCAAAGCTGACTGGCTATGCTAACCCAATCAGCTCAAATGATAGACTCAATGAATAGAGGAAACTGAGTTCAACAAAGCAAGCAGTTATTCAGTTATTTGACATCAACTTCAGACCTCCACATGCACATGATGCTCTCAAACACACTTGTGAACACACGTACACAAGTATACACACTGTATAAACATATTCCTAAAAAGAGAAAGTAAAAAAAAAAAATAATTAAAAAGTGTCATGTGGTAGCACACACCTTTATCTCAGCACTTGGGAGGCAGAGACAGGTGGATCTCTGTGAGTTTGAGGCCAGCCTGGTCTAAATAGTGAGTTTCTAGACTAGTCAGAGCCACAGAGTGAGACCCTATCTCAAACAAACAAACAAACAAAAAATTAGAGAGGAAGAAAAGGAAGGGGAGAAGGACTGAGGCACAGAAAGGGAGAGAGAAAGATGGGTGAGAGTGCAGAGAGAGAGATAGCTAATAAAAAAGTAGTTCAAACTGAATTATTTTTTTAAAGGGGGAAAATATCAACTCATGTTCTATGGTCATTTTAAAGAAATTAATATTCAAAAAATTTGTAAAATAAGTCAATACTTACAGATATATAATGTCTGAATACATAATTAATTTTGCCTTCGTTGCTTTTTGATATAAGTTGTTGGTGAATATTATAAAATTCTTCATGGCCAATCTCAGAGTAGAAAATCACCACAGGACTTTCAGAATTCGATGAGGGGAATCTGTGATCTCCTTTGAACAACAAAGGTTTAGGTCTGGAAATAAACATTGAAAGCTTCAAATTTTCTATTAAAAATTTTTTAAACAAAAACCAGGACACTTCTGACAACAACTTTAAAAACTTAGCAAAGATTTGAAATATCTTAATATAAAGGGTATCACAGTCTTGATCAATCTACACTTTAAATACTGTCAAGTATGAATTTTATTCATTCAGTACCATGAAAAATAAAAGTATATCAAAAGAATACTAACTATGAAATACTGACTTGGGTTGAATATTATTATCGATTCCTAAAAAACAAGGGAAGGTGAGCCAGGATGCATATCAAATCTCACAGCACTAAAGCTACAGGACATTTTCCTCCCATGGAGTACTGACTGTAATTTTACCTGAAATCATAAGGGCAAATAAGATGAGCAGCAGAAATGACTTTGAGTGTAACTTGTAGGCTACAGCAAGTCTCCCTTCTCTGCCATCTTGCTAGTGTGAACTTCCTACTAATGAATTCAACTTTTCAGTTTTCCTCTTAATTTTTTAAGCTTTGCAAAATACAAACAAAAAAGCCAAAACCACCACATTTCTTAAGACTGGCATCAGGACATTAAAAGTTATGCTCTACTGTGGTAGTTTGAGTGGAAAATGTTTCTTTTTTTTTTTTTTTTTTTTTTTTTTTTTTNTTTTTTTTTTTTTTTTTTTTTTTTTTTTTTTTTGGTGGATAATGTTTCTTATCCACCAAAAAATTCAGGCTCGTGTATTTCAATACTTGGCCTAGCTGGTCCTGTTTGAAGGGAAGTTATGAGAGTTTGGAACACAGAGGACACCACCACTGGGGATAGGCTTTAGAGTTACAGTCTTGACACACTCCAGTTCTTCTCTCTGCTCCCTGTGTGTGAATGAGATGTGATCCCTTGGCTCCTGTTCCTGCCACCATGCTTGTCATCCTATCATGATGGACATCTTAGCCTCCTGAGATTGTGCTGCTTAGTTGCTGTTGTTGTTGTCAACTTGACATAAGCTAGAGTTATTTGAAAAGGGGGAACCTCGACTGAGAAAACGCCCCATCAGACTGGTCTGTAGGCAAGTCTATAGAGCATTTTTTGCATTAATGATTGATGGAGAAGGGCCCAGCCTTCTATGAGCAGTGCCACCCTTGGGTAGACGGTCTGAGTTATAAAAGAAAGCAGGCTGAGCAATCTAGTATACAACGTTCTTGCATGGTTTATGTCCCAGTTCCTGATCCCCCTGCCTTGCTTTCCCCTGATGATAAAATTTTAAGCTAAATAAACCTTTCCTTTCCAAAAATGCTTTTGGTCACAGTGTTTTATCACAGCAATGAAAAGTAAAGTAAGACAGAAATCCTACGCTAAAATAAATGCTTCATTAAGTTGCCTTTCATCGTGGTATGTATTCCAGCAACAAAAAGTAACCAACACACCTACCAATCCCTAGTATAATTATTCAACAGAAGGCAAAGACATATGAAAAGATATGTTCTTTATAGTAGAAAAGTTCCAAAAATTAGAAACAACTTTTAAAACCAGCAGTAGGATATTTTTACATAGGACAATATGAAGATGCTAAAAACACTGAAGTGTACCCACATGCACTAGATGTGCATATAGAAAGATGCCGCAACAGAAATAAACCTATGTACTTGTACAAATTTAAAACCATAAAAATAAAAAGTCTACCAGAGTACTACTAAAAGCAGTTCCAACCTCTCAGAAGAAGAGGCACCACTCTTTACACAGGTCTGCATTATTGCTCAAACAAACCAAAGTTTTGAAGGAACTACAAAGTCACCAATTATGTTTCACCCAAGAAACAGGAGTGTCAAATACTTCTAATTTTGAAACAAGAGAATAGAAAGTAATGTGCCTCATTTTACAGAACTATTTTAAGTAATGGAGCTGATGTTCATGCTCAGTCTCTAGCTAGTAGCCATATCCTAATATACATATAGATTAGGTAAGAAAATCAGAGGAACCAAGTATATATCATGTTTATAACCCTAACACTTGGGAGGCCAAGGTAGGAAGTTTGTGAGTTCAAAACCAGACTGGGCTATAAATCAATACCTTTTCTCAACAGACAGACAGAAAGACAGACAGATAGACAGACAGACAAAAATCAGCCAGGAATGAGGACATAGGCCTTTAATCCCAGTACCCCAGAGGAAAGGCAGGCCAATCTTTGTGAGTTTTGAGGCCAGCCTGGTCTATATTTCAAGTTGTAGGCCAGGTAGTACTATATACTGAGGCTCTATCTAAAACAAACAAGGAAGAAAACTAGCAAAACTCAACTCAACTCAGAGGGTACACATAAAAGAAAAGGCTTGGAACATGAACATGAACCACATTGAAATGAAGAAATAAAACCTACCTGTCGGGTGCAGATAGTAGAAGGGTATCCAGAGCATCAAAATCACAGGTCTGCTTCCCATGCACTGAAAAGAATGACTTACATCCTTCTGGGGGAGGCTCATCACCTGCTATCTGTCAGGGAAGACAAAATATATATTTCTACTCAAAAGATCAGGTAAAAATCTGTTTTAATGAACAAGTCACTAAATGATAATCCACCATCAATAAAAGCAAAAATTACCATCTGCTAACATCCACTGTGAGCCAAGAACAACCCAAGCCAGAACTCTGGCTAGTTATGATATTCAATTCCTCCTATCAGTCCAGGTCAGTATAAGTATTATAAATCCACAAAATAAATTACATCAGATGATTATCAAAAGATATCTAGGAATTTAGGGTGTACCTTCAAAAAACCCTTAGCTCAAAATGGCAGGAGGCTTTGTGAGTGCATACACATACATGTACACACGCATGTTGAGGTCAGATGTTAACATGGCGAGTCTTTTCTAGATTACTCTTCAAGGTTATTTCTTGAGACAAGTTCTTTAATTGAACCTGAAGCTCACCAATGCAGCTAGGATGAACAGATGGTGAACTTCAGGGAACTCCCTATTTGTTCCTCCACTGCAAACCTTGGGGTTACAAGTGTATACTGCCATGCCCAGGTATAAAGGCATTTTGCTAACTAAGTCATCTCTTCAGCTCAAGGGTCTCCATGGTGGACAACTACACAGTGGAAAAAGACAATTACTGCTGTCCTCTGGCGCCACAGTATACCACGGCATATGCATATACACACTAAATAAATAAAAATGTAATAAAAATTTTAGATGTCAATTGTTAAAAGAGAGTTGTGCTTGACACTGAGTGCTGAGAAATGCCAGGAAGATAGATAGGGGCCAAGAGAAGGGAGGTGAGACAGTCTAACAAACCAGAGATGGAGGAGAGGTGTTGAAACACTGGGAATGGAAAGGTCTATGCTGGCGAGTGGGTAGGAAATAGGGAAAGGGTGGAAGAAGAAAGGGGTAATCAAAACTAAGGAAATATATAAGCCACACTGAAACCTACGAACATACAGCTTACTTATAAACTATAATTTTTTTTATTTATTTATTTATTATGTATACAATATTCTGTCTGTGTATATGTCTGCAGGCCAGAAGAGGACACCAGACCTCATTACAGATGGTTGTGAGCCACCATGTGGTTGCCGGGAATTGAACTCAGGACCTTTGGAAGAGCAGGCATCGCTCTTAACCACTGAGCCATCTCTCCAGCCCTAAACTATAATTTTTTAAAAGAATCAGAATGGAGTAGCCCTTCATGGATGGATAGTGCTTCTACTGGAAGTCTTGAGTTATTAAAAATTCCAGTGCTGGGTGTGGGCTACCTCCCTATGAGTTACTGAGCAGAGAAGAGCCCTTCCCTCCAAACAATATGGACTATTACCATTGTTCTTGGCCCCACCCAATCTTTTTTTAAATATTTATTTATTTATTATGTATACAATATTCTGTCTGTGTATATGTCTGCAGGCCAGAAGAGGGCACCAGACCTCATTACAGATGGTTGTGAGCCACCATGTGGTTGCTGGGAATTGAACTCAGGACCTTTGGAAGAGCAGGCAATGCTCTTAACCACTGAGCCATCTCTTCAGCCCCAGCCCCACCCAATCTTGATAGCAACATTCTATTATTGCTGGGGCTGGAGAGATGGCTCAGTAGCTAAGAATTCATACTGTTCTTGCAGAGGAACCAAATTTAATTTCTAGCATCTACACCAAACAGCTCACAATCACCTGTAACTCCAGCTCCAGGGCAATTTGACAACTCTGGTCACCATGGAAACCTACATTCATGTGTACCAGGTACATAATTTAAAATTATCTTTAAAAAAAATCCTATTTCTAGAGGTACTATATAAGTTTGATCACCGGACATACACAATCAAACTGGAGCTAAGCTAGAAGCTTTCTCCCTACAGGTTAGCCTTCATACTGCTGGGATATACTATTCAGACTGTCAACGTGAAAAAGTTATCAACAGTCTTACTTAGATGTAAAATTTGGGGGCTACAATAATGACCTGCAAGGCAAGATGTACCTGCTGACGGCATGGATATCATGAGTAGCCAACCACTTTTTGATTGCCTGGCTCTGAGATCTGCTCCATAGGCTAAGGTAAACCTGATCAAGAGCATATGGGATGGGGGTAGGAAGAAATCCTAGGAAACAACCCACTACTACTACCTTTGATTGTGTCATCAGACGGCTTTCTGAATACTTGTTCATGTTTATACCCACAGAATAGTGGTGTGGCCTTCTCTGGAGATGCTTCTAACTCCAGTGAAACATCAGTTTCCACAGTTATGAAATCATATCTAGCCAAAGTGCCAAGAACAAGTGATGTCAGAGGATTAGCCCTAAATGGAACAGCAACTATCATTTCCTCCAAAGACCAAAGAATACTACATAGCACAGAGAGATATGGAGGGAAAAGACATCTTCTGAACATACAGCAGCTGTGGTTACCTGCATAGTCTATACAAGATCAGGTCTTTCCCACCTGCATCATGGACAGAGGAAGAGCCTCCCCATCCCCCTACTCCCAGGACTATTGGCAGTTAAAGGTTGCTGGCAGAGGGGGTGACATTTTCTTTAATAATGTAGCTACTGTGAAGTTGCTCTGCTCCAGTAAAGAACCTCCTGCCTATGCTCTGGGAAGAAACTCTAATTAAACTCAGCGGGCCACACGCAAAAAGAATATATGGAATTAGCAGGGAAATTTGTTGAGGAGTGTTACACATAGAGAAGGAAGATAAAAAAGGGGGAATGGAGGTTTAAGTTCAACTCTCTTCCTTTCCCCTCGCTCCTTAGCCTCCTTCCCTCTTCCTCGTCTTCCGCTCGCTCAACCTCTTTTGTTCAGTATGTGTAACTTGAAGCTAATTTGTACTACTGGATGTCTGACTGGAGCCACAGATGCAGCATCTGTATTGTTCTTACTGAAACACAGCATGGAATTAACATTAAACAAATAAAACAAACCTAAATTAATAAATAAATAAATAAATAGATTCTGTGGTGATGTTTTTTTGTGATCTAACAAATACAGCTTGTCTGAGGATCAGAGTGTAGGGCTAACCCACTAGTTAGTCATAGTGGCCAGGCAGTTGTGGCACACGTCAGAGGCAGATGGATCTCTGAGTTCAAGGCTAGCCTAGGCTGCAAAAGATTGATCCAGTCTAAAAGAGAGACAGAGCCAGGCAGTGGTGACTCACACCTTTAGTCCCAGAACTTGAAAGTGCCTTTAATCCTAACACTGGGGAGGTAGAGGCAGAAAGGGATATGGCTGGGTGGAGAGGAATGTAAGGCGGAAAGAGATAGGAGCTCAAAATATTCAGTCTGAGGACTCACAGAGTCAGGATACCGCATTCAGGCTGAGAACTGGTGGCTGCTGTGTGTCTCTGATCTTTCAGCTTTCACCCCAACTTCTGACTCTAGGTTTTTATTAAGACCAATTAGAATTCACGCTACAAAATTCACTATAAATGTATGAAACTGGGGTTGGAGAGATGTCTCAGAGGTTAAGAGCACTTTCTCTTACAGAGGGCCCAAGTTCGATTCCCAGCACCCACATGGCAGCTCACAACTAACTTTGTAATTCCAAGATCTGACCTTACACAGACATACGTGCAGACAAAGCACCAATACAAATAAAATAAAAACAAATTATATGTTTTAAAAAAAAGTGCAGGAGGAGGGAGCTAGAGAGATGGCTCTGGGCTAAAAGCACTCTCGCAGAGGCTCTGAGGATGGCTCCCAGCACACTTATACACAGACAGGCACATACACGTTATTTAAAAATAAAAGTAATTTTTTTTAGATACAAAAGAACAAGAAGAAAATCTCAGTAACATACTAGTGTACTTCCTCCGAGAAGAGGGAGCTAATTCATCACACATCAAAATGGATATAAATCTCTACAGGGCTGAGTGCTGGCTCAGTGAGTGAAGCATGAGGGCTAGGGCTCAGATGCCCAGAACCCACCTAAACAGCATGTGGACACAGTGAGCCCCATGTGGGAGCGGGGAGACAGGAGTGCCCCACAAGTAGCCAGTCCGATGAACCAAAATGGCCAGCTCCAAGTTCAGGAGGTGTAATTTAAGGAAGACTCCCGACATCTATCTCAGAAACATACCCACTCACACATATAGGAGCAAAAAGTCTCTATTTCAAAGCCCATACTAAGCTAAGTAATTATTAAAAGAAATTCAAAGGACCAGAAACAGCATCTGTATATGCCAGCTCCATAAAAAGGAGACATTATTTTAGGCACAGATAACATTCGCATCAGCCCAAATTTGCAGTCACATGCCACATGTGGCTTCTGAACTAGAGTGACCAGTGAAACTAAAGAAGTAAAGTTTGTCTTTAACTCTATTTATATCAAAATAGCCTCACCTCTTCAAGAGATAAACAGCAAAGTGTATTGCTCCATTCAATAAAACACATCATAAATATACAGCCAAGGTAAAAATAAAAAATGCAATCTATAGCCTGGCGGTGGTGGTACCCGTCTTTAATCTCAACACTTAGAAGGCAGAGGTAAATGGATCTCTTGAGTTCAAGGCCAGCCTGGTCTACACATAAAACAAACAAACAAACAAACAAAAAAAAACCCCACCTGACTCAAGCAAACAAACAAAAAAAAGCAATCTATGTGTTGGAAAGATGGTTCACTGGCTAAGAGAACTTACTGCTCTTACAGAAGACCCAGGTTTGGATCCCAGCATCCATACCAAGTGGCTCACAACTGCCTCTAACTCCAATTCAAGGACATATGATACCTTTTGTAGATTCCACAGCCACTTGCACACACATGCACATTACAACACGCATCTTTAAAATTTTTTTTTTTTTTTTTTTTTTTTTTTTTTTTTTTTTTNTTTTTTTTTTTTTTTTTTTTTTTTTGATTTTTGAGACAGGGTTTCTCTGAGGCTTTGGTTCCTGTCCTGGAACTAGCTCTTCTAGACCAGGCTGGCCTCGAACTCCCAGAGATCCGCCTGCCTCTGCCTCCCGAGTGCTGAGATTAAAGGCGTGCGCCACCACGGCCCTGCGTAAAATTTCTTTTTCTTAATGCAACCCATTAGCCAGACCTATAATCCCAGTTTTGTTTTTTTTTTTTTTTTGAGTGGTTGTGGGCAGAGGATAACAAATTCAAGGCTAGCCTGGGCAACATAGTGAGTATAAGACTAGCCTAAGCAACTCAGTAAAACCCTGTCTCGAAATAAAAATTAAAAAGGCTGGGGATACATCTCAGTGCTATAGCATCTTCCTAGAATGAACCACAACTTCAGTTCCATTTCCCTTACCAAAAAAAGAAAAAGAGAAAGAAAATGGGTTATAATTAATATACTAAAGGAAAAAATGCAAATCCATCATATTTTGCAATGATTTCTTGTGTTTGACAACAGAAAACACAGGCAACCACAACAACAAAGACTAGAAACCAGATATGGTGGCGGATGCCTGTCATACCATAACTCGGGTGGCTGAGGCAGGACATCTAGAGTTCCAAGATGGTTTGGCTACAAAACTGAACCTATGTTTCAAAAGAAAAAAGAAAACAAAGAAAAAAGGGAAAGAAATAGAAGAATCAAAATGTGATAACACAAATCACCCATCAGTGTACAATATAAAAATAAGTAACTGTTGAGGGAGATATAGAGAAATTAGAACTCTTGTACATTATAAGTGAGAAGTAAAAATGGGGCAGTCACTGTATAAAACAGCTCAATGCATCACTAAAATATTAAATACAGGGGCCTAGAAATGTAGTTCAACCAGAGAATCTGCTTAGCATGTGCAAAGTTCTGGGTTCAATCCCCAACAATAAAAGGTTAAACACAGAATTATCATATGATTCATGAATCACACTTACATACAAAGGCAAAAGAACTGAAACAGAAACTCAACCAGACATACAGACGCCAGTTCTCTACAGCTGGGCTACTGATACGAGCCAAAAGGTAGAAGCAACCCAAATGTCAGCTAAGGAAAGAATGAATACCAGAACATGATATACACATACAATGGAATATTAGTAAGCAAAAAATAAAAGTGAGAACCTAGTACATGCTACACACGGATGAATATTAATAATTGTCCTTCATAAAACAAACAGGAAAGGGCAAACATTGTAAGACTGCACTTATATGAGAGGTACCTACCATGGGTATAGGTCACAGAGGTAAAAAGCAGAATTCTGGTTGCTAAGAGTAGTAAGGGAAATGGGGGAAATAAAGAGAATTAACATTCTGTAGAGTTCTGTATAGAGTTCCAGCTTCACAATACAAAAAAGCTCTGAAGTGCAAGCATGACGGAGCACACAGGTAAATCCGCTAGAGAAGAGGCAGAGAGGTCAAGCTCAGTTGCAGCTACACAGCCAACCAAGTTCAAGGCCAGTGTATTAGTTAGTTTTGCACTTCTATAACAAAACACCACAACCAAGGTAATTTATTTTTAAAAAGTCTTTAATTAGGCTTATGGTTTCAGAGGGTTGGAACCCAAACGGCAGAGCAAAGGCATGGTGGTGAAAGACCTGGATAAATCCAGACACACAACACACCCTACCCCCCCCCAGCCCCCTACCCCCACCCCCCACCCCCGCAGCAGGAAAAAATAGGGCCAAAAATCTAAGCAGGGAGGGAAGAATCTGATATCTAGGATTAGCCTGTTCAGTTTCAGGAACTAGCTGAAAATAAAGTTAGATTGTAATCTTGAGAAACAGGGAGTTGCCCCCTTGTGATTATCACTGGTATTTTTGGAATTTTCTATGATGCCCTCCCTACCCTTTGGATTACTGGGCTGTGGTTTCTTCCCTTAAAAACCCCTTATCCCTGGGGCTGGAGAGATGGCTCAGTGGTTAAGAGCATTGCCTGCTCTTCCAAAGGTCCTGAATTCAACCACATGGTGGCTCACAACCATCTGTAATGAGGTCTGGTTATTATTGTATGCATTAAAAAAAAAAAAAAAAAAAAAAAAACCTTATCCCAGTTACTCGGGGGTCGAACTCCTCCCCTGCATGGGAATATGATGAATTATATGAGTCTTGGTCATAGTGAGGCCATAGTGCACTGGTACCTGTCAATAAATCTCATGTGATTGCAGCAAGGACTGTCCCCCAATGAGTTACTGGGGGGGGGGGGTCGTGTTATCCTGAGACTTGAGTGAGAGTCTCCCCTCACTGGGGGTCTTTCAGTTTTTCAGTCAATAGAGCCCACCCTTATGGGAGATGTCACATGTACTTTAGTTTGGTACTCTGCACAGTCTGTATAACCAAGACCACTATCCTCTAAACCTCTTTATGGTAGAGGTCACAAGGATTTTGCAAAGAGTTTCCATATACTCATGCCTTAAAGTTTTTTTAATTACTATTATTCCACTAAAGGAACATAGCAATAAAAATTACTTCTCATGACAAATGCTATAACCCTAGAGCAGAGCATCGCCCACTCAGTCCTCACCAGAAGCTGCTTCTTGCAGTAGGTAACAACAAGATCCACAAGTGGATAACGTGCAGAATGAGAGGCTTCCGAGCACTCAGCTCTAAACGGGGTGTCTTTATCAAACCCCTCCCCTCAAGGCTCAAGGATCCATGCAGAAGAGGCAGAGGTGGTGGATAACACCAAGGAAACAGGGTCTTCCAGACTGATAAGCATCTGAACTCAGAAACGGAACAGCACACACAAGACCTGCAAAGGTTCCAACTACACAAAATCCCAGTACTGAGAAGGGGAAGTGAACACAAAGTTCCACCCTAACCAAGAATCTATTTGCAACTGATACCTCCTAGGAAAGGAAAACCATCTTTCTCCAGTGCAGTATAACTGGGTATACTTCCATACTCAGAGTAGCCCCCATGCCCAGGAGTAGTTGGCCAACACAAAACAAACTCCATGGGCTTTTGGTTGGCTTTTTGCTTTGTTTTGATACTTTGTCATAACTGATTTCTTTTTTTATAGTTTGTTTTGATTTTCTAGTTTTTGTGCAGTGGGCAGGTTGGAGTTTTTCCTGTTGTTTTTCATTTGTTGTTTGCTTTTGAGAGAGAGAACATGAAGCTGGGTGGGCAGGGAACTTGGGGGATCTGGGAGGAGCAGGGAAAGTGGAAAGAATATGATGAATTATATGAAAAAACGTACATAAAATTTTAAGAATTGGAAAGAAAAAGAGGGGAAGGAAGAAGAGAAGAAGGGAAGGAAGGTCTGAGGAAAGAGGAAAAAGAAAGCAAACAGACACCTGAGTCCCCTAATGAGTGACTACAGCATTGCTATAGACTTGACGAAGGAAGGAAATGGAATTTTGATTGAGCCTCTCTAGATGCAGTTCCTGATTATAGAGAACAGCAGACAGAGGAGTAAGCTAAACTGCACCATAAATATGTGGTCAACAAAACTGAGTGCAGGAAGAGTATGATGCAGTCCACGGGATACAATAGAAAAGGAAAAAGAGGAGCTAGGCACGGCAATACACACCTACAATCCCGACACTTGAGAAGGAAGATGGAGAATTCAAAGGTAGCCCATGCTACAAAGAATAACAGTTTCAAAATACAAACTAAACAACAACAAAAACAATCAAGAGAACCTCTCCCAAAGTTTTAAAATTTTCTAACACAGGACAAAATTAAACTCTATTGGGTACAGATGCATTCTTAGGGAATAAAACAATTGAAAAACAAAACTTCGGGAGACGATTCTGACAGAAGTGGCAGCATGGCTTCTTTTGGGGGACAAAGGGTGGCTAGGACTGAGACAGCACTTGCTTGTTCAAGGTAGCAAGTGAAAATCACTTCTTAGCGTGGGTGAAAGTCACTAAGGTGCTCACTTCCCAGTAACCCGTTGTATGATTTGTCTGTTGTGAGTGCTTTTCTGTATCTGTTTTGTTTTATAATACAGGATGGTTTTACAATTAACATTTCTTTCATACAAATATCTAGTTGCTATAAACACATCTGATTTTCTTTTATTCTCCCCTTTCAAAATGCAAATGTGATTCCTGCAGTGACATTCTGAAGCCTTCTTGATGTTGCTATGTTCTTCTTTCTCTTTTAGTTTTTCTTTTATCCACAGAAGATCCCAGATCACTTTACTAAAATATTTCTCTAATCCTAGATGTTTTAGACTATAATCCCTCAATGTTCCCTGCCTCTTGTCTCCTGTTTTTAGATCCGAAGGTTGTGATCAGATTCAGGTTCACTGGTTTAGCAAACTTACCTCTTCCACACTGCGTAGGATAAGAGCATCTGGCTGTCACTTACCTGTGACAATATTCTTTTCATTTCTAACATGAAAACCAGTGTAAATCATTTCTTAAAATTTTCATACCCAAGTCCAACCCCAATGCAAGAAAAATAAAAATGAATACACTGTGATTAGTAAAGAGATGTGGCTCAGTAGTAGAATTTATTTATTTGCCTAGCATGCCCAAGGCCCTGTGTTCTATCCCCAAACCAGGGACAGAGGCAAACATCTGTGATTTAAAGACTAATGATTTAAAAACATCAGCTTTGTTCATTATTTAAAAGTAAACCAGAAATCCCAGAAAATATCAGGCAAAGAAAGTGGTAACTATATATCAATCCCAAGAGAACTACAATCAACTGAATCACCATGTCACGCCCCCTATAAAATGCTGTTTTCTAGATACAATGATGTCTTGTTACCTGCTGGAAGGCTTGAATTGAGGCTGAGTAGGAACGAAGAGAGAGACAAAATTTCAACAAATTCTGCTGCAAAGGTGACAGAAATTGAAACGCGGCTTCCAATATCGCATTGTAATAGGAACGATCAGTGTCTGTCAAAAAAGCACATTAACCAGAACAATTGCACGACTGTAAATAACCAAACAAGACAGTTCACAAAGCACAACACAAACACAGATGATGAACTGTTTCCACCTGAACTCTGTCAAGTGACTAAAATCACCAGAGGTCTACAATACAAATGGACACTCCTCTCCTTCCTCTAGACCACTCTGCTTGCCTGGACAGCTACTTTCCTACTCTTCGGATGGCTTGCTCCTGGAGGAATTCAGCTATGAAATCATTCACTCAGTAAAGTAGACTTCATCTTTACACTACGCTTCTAGAGACCAGTTACATCACTGCTGAGGTCCAAGAATATCTGTCTACCACATCATTTACTAAAGTACTTATTCACTGACTCTGGGCACCCATAGACAGAGGCAATGGCTTCTATCTTTGTACTCTCAGATCCTAGATGTGCTCTCTACTAAAATAACTAAGTAAAGCACTAAGGAATGCAACAAAATATTAAAGGACATTGATGGTATCATAAAATTTGATGATAAGTATTTAAACAAAAAGCTAGCTAGGCAAAATTATTTAGAAGGAAAAGACATCTGTGTGCTACCATCATAACCCCTCTAGTAAAGGAAGAGCAAATGTACAAAACTTGTTACATAGCAAGCAGTCATTTTTGCCAGACTGTGATATGTGTGTGTGCTGCCAAAAAACAAAACAAAACAAAAAATCACTACAGAATAAATGTTAAATGGCTTTTAAAAGCAAGCAGAAAATACAAGAAACAGAGACAAGAATGAGTATCCAACTTTTTATTTAGCTTTGACTACAGTATGAGTTACAGGAGTTATTCAAAAAATAAAATCTTCAATAGAAAAAATATTAACTTTGGCATGTGTGAGTGTGGTGTATACAGATATATGTGTATGAAGACACTTGTGTCAAATGGACATGAACATGCCTACATATGTATGCAGCCCCAAAATTTATACCAAACGTCTTCCTTGATCTTTTTCACTGAGCCCAGAGCTTGCCGACTGCAGCTAACCTACCAGCCAGCTTGGTCCAGGTACACCCTTTCTCTGCCTCCTGAGTGCTAAGAGGACAGGTGACTAGCACATCTGCTTAGCTTGTGTATGGTTCTGGGATCTGACGCTGATCCTCCTGCTTGCACATTAAGTGCCTTATCCACTGAGTTATTTCCCTAGTCCCAATATTTAATTTTTAAAAGCAGAATATAAAAGGTTCCATATCACATTAGCATTATCTTACATGGGGAAAAAAAACAGAAAGAAATACCTCAAATGGTCCCAGAAATTAATAATGTCAATCTTTAGATGGCAGACCTATGAATACTATTTAGCATGTTTTTATAATCACTTCTAAGAATTCACATCCCTGTAACATTAACCAAGAATATGCATCGTTTTTATCGAAATTTCATTTTAAATGTTAAGACTTGAAGTTTTAGCTAAAATCCTTATTAATAAATTCATTACATGAAATCATAAAATTCTTTAAGATTTATCTTGTTATTTTTAATTATTTGTTTGCCTGTGTGTTGGTACATACACATGACTGCCCTCAGAGCCAGAGGCATCAGGTCCCCTTGGAGCTGGAGCTACAGGCAGTTGTGAACTGCTGGATATGGGAGCTGGGAATCAAACTCGGGTCATCTGAAAATCATCCACACTCTTAACCACTGAGCCATGTCTCCAACTCTCTGTGAGATAATTTGTTATAAGCAATTCTACTTCACTCTAACTCACATGACTAAAACTTATAGATGCTTGCTCAAAATCTGCATGCATTTCCATCACAAGATTCAGATGACTATTAAAATGCTATTTTAACAAAAGTTTAAAAGTAACTGAATACATTTAACTTAACAATACTCAATTTCCAACCATTTCTATGCCAGTAATAACTGACACTTGTCTAAGCTTAATGTTCAACATTTTAATGACTGTCATATGTCATTGAGGAAGAATATGTTCAGAGCAATACACTATTGGGTGACTTTGCCCCTATGTGTTCAATAAAATACACTTAGACAAATAAGACAACTAAGGTCACTGGGTGACATCCTATGACACCACTCTCATGTATGTGGTTCATCCCTGACCAGAACATCACTATACTTCCCTATTAGCATCTTTGACTAGCAATGCCTGCAACCTAGATTACATCTTTTATGTTAGAAAATGTTCAAGAAAACACACCATCCATAAACTAAAACTGAGCGATACAAGATACATCTTTAAAAAAAGATAGATAAGATACATCTTTATATATATATATCTTAATTTGACATCTTGACAGTCAAATAGTCAGTGGTTAGCAGGCACAATGGAAAACATACTAGGTGGCACTAAGTTAATGATAACACACGTAACACAAAGAGATCACTTGTGTAATTAGTTCATAACAAAAGAGAATGAATCAGACAGATAAAGTTGATACTAAATGATCTAAGGTAAAATGCACTTTTGCTAAGTAGTGCCAAAGCACATTAACAAAAGAGCACAACAGAGCAAAAGCAATGGGAAGAAAGGCATTATCTGCAGTCAAAGTTACAAACTGCATACACACAAAAATAATGATTTGTGGTTACACACAGTGATGTCTGCCAACAGCCCCAATTATTCAAGAGGCTGAACCAGTAGGACTGTTCTAAATCAGCCTTTATAAGACATCATTTCTTGCAAAGGGAAATAAAAATGTATTGGTCTAAGTCAGTAGGGGTTTGGGACTAGCTCAGTGGCATAGTGTAAGTTTCCCACTTCAATCTTCCTACCATGACAACTCTAGTCAGTAAAGAAAATAATATTTTCCATTAACTGCCATATTACATATACTATACAGAGGAGACCATTTTTTTCTAACATTTTCCCAGACCACAAAGTCAAACAAATATTTGCTTCAATTTTACCGTGATGATCAGATGATCCAATATTTTGACTGGCTTCTACAAAACTCCAAAATTTTTCTTGACTGTCTTCTGCTAAGAACTCACTGGGAGAAAAGTGGGAGATATCAGCAATGAGACAATAAAATCTTCCATTACAAGCTATATTACTAGGGAGAATAAAAGGGGATTTACATTCCCAAATGCCTGTAGTTTGGTTTTTATTTTATTTATATATATATACATAAACATATGTATATATTATATATCTTTATGTATAATGTATATTTTCTTAATGAAAAGTAAGCTTTATTATTTCATATTAGCTATTAATAACAGCTTAATAACTTGTTCTCTTGGTTACTTCTTTAAAAACCTAGAACAATAAAAATGTTATAATAATAGGGTAGCCCTAATATATAAATGACTTATGAAACCCATTAGCAGAACTCATCAGCAGTGAAAGCAGAATTAGGAAATGGCCATTCTAGTGATAGTTCTGCCCACATCCTTTCTGAAAGATCTTACAAAGAGCAAACATGTTTAGCTTAAGGTTCTCCCACAGTAAACATGAATCCTAAAAATTTTCTTGAATAAAGGCATATCTTTTAACATCTAAAAAAACAAATTTTCAAGATCACCAATTTTCTTAGCTTAAAATTAGTACACATCTAACAAGTCAAATCTAAGAACTAACATCCCTTTTAGCTTTACACTATTATCCTAAAACAATGGTCTTTCTGAATTTCCTTCGCCCAAGTCTAAAGCTCCTGAAACAAAATGCATTTAATGACCGAATAAATGATTCATGTAAACTGGTGATCATCACTTGAAGCTAAGTGCTAATGTGGTAGTTATCTCTCACTGTCTTAAAGCAAACTACAGAGCTAGATCTCAGCTTACCTAGCCAAAGGAAGACTTGCCCATTACTTGCCAACACTGGGGTGTACAACTCTCACTCTACTCCACAGCTAAACACAGAGATATGGGAAAATAAGAAACAATTTCGGGTAACGCAGCTTCTCTAAAAATAGGTTTCAAAAATTATCCACTATTATTAATGTAGTAGATTTAGTGCCTTCATGAGTCTTATTTTTCTAGGCTGTCTAGCAACTAATATAAACACTGAGCAGACTCACCTTAGAGTAGCTTACACTCTACAGAAACAGGGGCTAGGATGGCATGCTATGCAAATGAACAAATCCATGAACTCAAGGGAAGATGACATACTCACCAGTGGGAGAAAAAAACAAGGACTCACTAGGGCTAAATATACTTTTCACATAAGCATAAACAATTTTCATGACACGTATTTTTATCCTAATCAGAGATCTAAGATTGTAGTAGTCATAAGAAAACAACTAAATCGACTGAAATAACCCAGCAGAAAAGAGAATAATAGAAGATATCACTCAAAGAACGCTGCTATCTTTTGTGAGGTAACTAACTTGGCTTTATAGATGTTCTGCTAGGCTTTTTAGCTTTGTGTTCCTATGCAGTGAGTAAAGCATCTGTGGATTTCAGTTAGGGAAGAGGATGACATCAGTCACTGCACTCACACTGGTTTCCTGCTCTTTGGTGCTGGGTCTCCAACAACCTGGAGAAGCACCTACTTACAGCCCCAATCATTGTTAAAATGAGCCATGTGTACAGAAGTATACCATTTTTCCATTGATACTTTTTAAAAGTCATAATACAAAGTTCATCTCCAGAAAACAAAGAAAAAAACAAAGCTTAAAATCAGCTGAATGTATAACAGATAGTACAAATGTGGCAGCCATATTCTACATTTCTATTGTTACTGTGGCGATCAGCTAAGTCTTACACAGGACTAGACGAATAAGAAAGGAATACTTAGTCCGTTGTCTAATGATGCACTTGGCATACTCACTCAAGTGTTAAGTCCCCACAGCCACACTCAATTACAACCACTTTCCAAATTAGGAAGCTGCTATGAACTTGCTAAAGTTTTTCATCTATGAAAAAAATAAAAAGGGAGCTAGCTGGGCTTGGTGGCTCATGCCTATAATCCCAATAATTATTATTGGGAGGCAGAGGCAGGAGGACCACAAGTTAGGGGTTAGCCTAATCTCTACATAGCAAGACTCTCTCTGACTCTCTCTGACTCTCTCTCTCTCTCTCTCTCTCTCTCTCTCTCTCTCTCTCTGTGTGTGTGTGTGTGTATCTCTTTTTTAGAAAAAAAAAAGTTTATTTATTTATTATGTATACAACATTCCTTCCATGTATGCTTGCATGCCAGAAGAGGGCACCAGATCTCATTATAGATGGTTGTGAGCCACCATGTGGTTGCTGGAAATTGAACTCAGGACCTCTGGAAGAACAGTCAGTGCTCTTAACCGCTGAGCCATCTCTCCAGCCCTGTGTGTATACAGGTCTTATACACATAGTGAGAGAAAGAGTGTGTGTGCATGTGTTTCTCCCTACAAGCAACCCAATTTTCCTCCAGAATCTGCAAATCTAGTGGTAATCTTATTTCCTTCGTCTATAAGTTAATATTTAAAGTCAAGTAGATTTGATTTATAACTATCATTCCATATCCCTTGGTCATTTTAATATCTACTTCTATTAGTAACTATATCTGCTCAAAACATTCAAGACTTTTACTTGAGTTAAACATATATCTATAATTATAGATATAGATTTGCACATATTACTTCATGGGCAATCACAAAGCTAAAAATCCCTTCATAATCATCAGGCACAATCTAAAAATATACACAGGAATGTTTTCAGTCCCTTAGGGCTAGATGCAGGGAAAACAAGGTCTGTAACAGCTACGTGCCTGGTACACAGAGCTCTTTACCCTCATCCACAGAGACAGTGTCAGAATCCATCATCACAGACAGGAGGGAAGAATGGTGGCCCCAGCTAGCTCCAGAACAGTGGTTCTCAACCTTCCTGATGCTGTGACCCTTTAATACAGTTCCTCATGTTGTAGTGACCTCCAACCATACAATTATTTGCACTGCCAGTTTTGTTACTGTTATGAATTGTAACAAATAGCTGTTTTCCAATGGTCTCTGGAAGGGTCATTCAATCCCCTCCCCTGAAGAGAATGAGGTTGAGAACCACTGCCGTAGAGGTAACTGCAGAGTGATACAAATACAAATAAATAGGCTTCTTTTGGAGTTGCCTACAAGGCCTATTGCCTTGACTACCTGTTTGCAAACACCTACTGGAGAAGAGACTAAAAGTTAACAACTCAAAGTGGCAAATTGTCAGAGACACCATGAAACGGGGAGATGTTTGTGATGAGGAAGTTAATGATGCAAACATCATAGCCTATACGCTCAACTGTGATCAAAGAAAGGGAACAAAGATTGAGGAATTAGAGCTGACAGTATTAGACACACTTTCTCAATTCCATGGATATGGACCACAAAAATCTTCTAGGGATTGGAGATGCAACTCCAATGTTAAGAGTGCTTGCCTGGCATGCATGAAATCCTGGGTTCATTATCCCCAATATCATACAATAAATAGCACATGGCTGTAATCCAACACTGAGTACAAGGAAGCGAGACCAGAAGTTCAAGGTCACCCTTGGCTACATAGTAAGTGTGAGGCAAGTCCAGGATACATAAGACCCTATCTTTAAAACAAAACAACAAAAACGACTATTTAAAAAAAATAATTTATTGTGTATTTTATCACTTTAAGACTTAATTATTTTATATAATCCAAGTATGGCCTGACTGTTTATGATAAGAATCATTATGTAGCCCAGTATGACCTCAAATACACAATTCTCCTACCTTAACCCCTCCATGTGCTGGATTTACAAGTAAATACCATCATGCTAGGCTATGATGATTTCTGGAGGAGGAAGCAGGAGCAGCACTGAGGACTGAACCTAGCTCACGCCTGGGGAGCGATCGTTCTAACACTGAGTTATATTCCCCATCTTTTATTGTTCTTGTTGCTGGATGATGGTGATGTTTTCAGATAGTGTCCGGATAACTTTCCATCCTTCTGCCCAGGCAGCTGGTGTTACAGATACCTCACCGTACCCAGATCTAAGATAACTCTTTTATATCAATGTCTCATGTATCCCAGACTGATTTTGAGTTCTCTATTAACAAAGCATGACCCTGAACTCCTGATCCTCCTGCCTCTCAAATGCTGCTCCTCACCCTAACAGTTTATGTAGTGCCGAGGACCAATACAGTGACACAAGGGAATACTAGGTGGTACCAAAAAATAAAAAAAAAAAATTAATGTGTATAGATGTTAATACAAATTAGTAAGATCTAACTTACTACAAAAATAAGTAAAAATAAGAACCTCCAAATTTAAGGAAGAACCCAGATTTTGGAGACTCCAATGTAGAACAAGACCATCTTAAAACAAGTAAACCCAAGTTGGGTGGTGGTGGTGCACACCTTTAATCCCAGCACTCGGGAGGGGGAGGCAGAGGCAGGAGGATCTCTGTAGTTCGAACCAGCCTAGTCTACAAGAGCTAGTTCCAGGACAGGCTCCAAAGCTACAGAGAAACCCTGTCTCAAAGAAAAGAAAAAAGAAAAAAAAAAAAAAAAAACAAGTAAACCCATGGCTTCTACAGCTCCTTTCTCCTCCACCCCCCATTCTCTTACCCTAGAGTCTTGTTCTTATGAGCAGTGTTCCTAAACCTGCCTATGGCTCAGTCCTGTGCAGCTGCACACAGAGTCTGTGTCCTCAGAGCCCTTACATGGTACAGAGCTTAACATGTGCAAATGAAAAGTACAAGCTCACTACTGAGTATCCATTTACTACCAGACCCCAAGTTTATAATATTCCAGTATACAGAAGAGAATATCTCCTTACCTGGCTTCCAATAGCAGTGGAGGAGAAAACCACTTTGTGGTCAGAGAGGTTGTAATGGCTTTGGAACTGGCCTCTGCTAAGGAAAACAGGCACAGGGAAGCCAGTGTAATTATAAGTCCCATGTTGTAACAAAGCTCTACAAAGGGAAAAAGAAGAGAAAGTGATGTTAAAATTTCACAAGGAAGCACAAAACAACACTAATACTTAGGGACACAAAGTAAGAATGAAAGTACATGAAGCACGATTAATAAAAACTCAAGAGTCAGAAATTGGGGTTCAACCTGAAGATCCGAAAAGCAAAACAGTCAGCCACTGGCTCTTACCTTGACCTCAGTCTGAAATGGTGATCCTGCCTCCCAGAATCTCAGAATGAACTATGTCTGAGAGCTGTCTTCCCCCATCTTATATTCCTCTCTAGGGCTGGGATTAAAGGCAGACACCACCTGATTTCTATGGCAACTAGTGTGGCTACTGGGATTAAGGGTGCGTGTCATTGTGGCTACTGAGATTAAAGGTTCATGTTACCATAACCTGGCCTGTAAAGTTGGCCAGTGGGACTGTTCTTACTCTCAGATCTTCAGGCAGTCTTTATTTATTTATTTATTTATGTTTGGTTTTTCGAGACAGGGTTTCTCTGTGGTTTTGGAGCCTGTCCTGGAACTAGCTCTTGTAGACCAGGCTGGTCTCGAACTCACAGAGATCCGCCTGCCTCTGCCTCCCGAGTGCTGGGATTAAAGGCCCAACACTTTATTTTTTAAGGCCCCCAGTCTTTATTTATTAAAATACAATTGAAATGCCACTACAGGTATAGAAATCAAATGCTTCTGAAACAGACAGCACTTAACACCTTGATGGTCCAAAAGGCAATGCTGAGTACCTGGAACAAGGAAAGCTAGGGAGTGAAAGTTGGCGACAATCTTTCCTACAGGGATGCCAGTTCCATTCATAAAGTATGAGGATAAACAAAGCTAAGATAGAAGAAATATGAATGACTAGTGGTGCTATAGACTGAATCCTAATCTACAAAAAAAGGGGTGGGGTATGTTGCAATAATAATCCCTCTGCCTCAGAATGGGAATTGACTTGGAGACAAGATGATAAAATTCTAGTCATCGGTACAGTAATCCAGTGAGACCAGAGTTAAGGAAGGGAGAGGGATAAACAGACCCAGAGAAAGGACCTGTGAAGAGAGAAGTAAACACTGCAACTATACCATGCAGTATCTGCAGGTCTGATGCTACTAGAGACTGATTAGGCAAGCAAAAGTCCCTCCTCCTTGTAGATTTGGAGGAAATATGTTGCAGCCACACTTCAACTGAGGACTTGCAGCCTAAAAACTAGAAGACAATGAAATCTACGGTCGGAAGCCACCCAGTTTACAGCTCTTCATCTTGTTAGCTCTAGGATATAATGTAGTAAGTTTCAAAAGTAATGAACTCAAAGACTGGATCTACAATGGGCAAAGACATCAGTAACATTTCACGCCAACTGCTCCCATCTATAAAGTAGGGAATCCAAGTTCCCAGGAAGCAGTACAGAGCTGCCTTACTCCCATCAGCAGCCTCAGGCTAGAACACTTGCCTAGCACAGCATGATGCCCATTCCACCACAGGGCCACAGAAGAAAAGGAAAAGCCAGGCCAAGTGACTCAAGTCTATATATACCCTTAGCTACACAGGAAGCTGGGGTGAAATTAGGATTAGAATTAAGGTTAGCCTGAGCAACATGAGATGGGCAAGATGAGATCTCTTCTAAATTGAAGAAAACAAAAATCAGCATCTAACTTTGGATGGACACATGAGAATGAGAAGATGGGAAGTACTATACATTCTGTGCTTCTAAACGTCAGGCTCTGGCAGGCTCATCCCGGCCACACCCATTCCTTGATACTGGTTATAAAATCTATTAATGAGATGGACATAAAAGATATTGAGTGAGCCGATCAGGATCTACATTTTTACTGATACCATTTATGCTAAGAGCCTACTTTACACGATGCATAAAGACTGAAAAATAATTGAAACAAAATAAATTATAGAAATAGAAAAGTATCTTTTAGAAGCACTGCCAACTTCTCTACAAATACACAAACAAAACAACAAAAACTTGAACATCCCATGTGTAAATAAAAGACTAAGTCCTAAATGGGATGTCTTCATCAGATCGTCTCTTCAGGGCTCAGAATGAAGGATTCTGTGTCTCCCCCATCCACAGGGGAAAGCAGAGGAAGTAGGCTCCACCAAGCAAGTCTCCAGGGACAAAAAACTGAAGCAGGGGCTTTACTAGCTCCAACCTCATCTTATCCACTTCCTCTGTCTTGAGAACTTGCCCTCCCACTAACAGGGTGGGGAGCATCCTTGTCTGCCCTTGACTTTAGTTTGCCCAGGCAACTTGTGTTGGCCAGTAGAATGAGGCAGGTGGATGTGTGTTGTTCTAGAATCCACGTCTTAAGAAAATTCAGGGAGTTAGGCAGAAAGATTCTAAGAGTGAGAGGTGGTGACTGACTTCAGGAAAACAGTATCCTCCAGACACAACTGGACTGCTGCACATATGAACTCAAGAGACAACAGCAGCACACATCCAGCCAGTGTTCCAGCACTGAAAGGAGGAAGTAGACATGGGCTCCCATGCCCAAGCAAGAAGCTACCTGCAACAGACACCCACTTGCAAAGTAAAAATGGAGCCTTAAGTCTGCCTGAGTACATTAACAACCTCAGGGTAGGCCCCATGCCCAGCAGTAAAGTCAACACACACACACACACACACCAAAAAAAAAAAAAAAAAAAAAAAAAAAAA